GCCGCGGGCCTGGCCTTCTCCTGGGACCTGCCCCGGGGGCCACACCTACGACGGCGCCGTCCTCACGCTCGACGCGGCGGAGCTCCAGGTCGGCGACGCCGTGCTCTCGGTGAACGCGACGGCCGCCGACGGCCGGACGTCGCGCGCGTCCGTCGCGCTGACCTTCGTCGACGAGGACGTGCCCCTCGTGTCCGTCGACGCGTCGGCGCTGGGCGCCCGCGTGCCCAACGGCGCGCGCGCCGTGCTCGCGGGGTCCGCGGCGCCGTCGTCGCTCGAGGGGCGCGAGTTCGCGGAGGGCCGCGCGCTCGCGACGACGTGGGTGCTGAAGGCGGGCCAGCTCGCCGACGGCGGGGCGCTCGGCGACTGGGCGACGACGGCCCTCGACGTCGCCACGGCGGCGGCGCGGGGCGCGCGGCCCCACAGCCTCGTCGTCCCCGGCGCGGCGCTCGTCGCGGGCGCGGCGTACGTCTTCGAGCTCCGCGCGGCCGTCGACGGCGTGCCCCGGGAGGGCCGCGCGTCCGTGTCCTTCGTGAGCGCGCGGCCGCCGTCCCACGGGTCCCTGGCCGTGGCGCCGGCCCGCGGCGTCGCCCTGGAGACGCCCTTCGCGCTGTCGACGAGGGACTGGATCTCGGAGGACCTGCCGCTCGTCTACTCGTGGACCGTCGTCGACGGCGTCCACGGCGACGCGACGACGCTCAAGGCGGCGACGCGCGCCGCGTCCCTGGCCGACGCGCGCCTGCCGCCGGGCGCGCCGAACGTGTCGCTCGCGGTCGTCGCGCGCGACGCGCTCGGCGGACTCGGGGAAGCGTCCGCGTCCGCGCGCGTCGACGCGACGGCCCTGCGCGGCGCGGGCCTCCGCGACGCGGCGAGCGAGCGCCTGGCCCTCGCCGCGGCCTACGCCGCGCCGGAGACCGTGTACCAGACCGTCGTCGCGGCGTCGGCGGCCGCGCGCAACGACTCGCTCCTGCTCGGGAGCCTCGCCGGCGCGCTCGGGGCCGTCGTCGCGGCCATGGACGACGACGTCGACCTCGTCGCCCAGGCCGCCGCGGCGCTCAAGGAGCCCCTCCTCTACGGCGCGCTCGACGGCGGCGCCGCGCGCGGGTCCCTCGAGACCGCGCGGCGCCTCGCGCGGACGTCGGCGACGGTCGGCGTCGGCGCGGCCGCGGCCGGCGACCTCGCGCTCTCGCTGAGCGCCCTCCTCGGCTCGCCCCTCTTCGGCAACGTGTCCAACGCGTCGGACGTCGCGCGCCGCCGCCTCGAGGGCGCCGACCGCGGCGAGTTCGCCGGGAACAGCTCCGCGGCGCTCGTCGAGGCCGCCGTCGACGACCTCGCGCGCGCGGCGCTCCAGGGCAGGGTGCCCGACGAGGCGCCCTACGCCGTGACGACGAAGAACCTCGACGTCAAGGCCGCCAAGGTCTACGCGGCGCAGACGGGCGACGCGCCGCGGACGCTGACGCTCGACGGTTCCCAAAGCGGCGTCGACCTGCCCCCGGACTTCGAGAGCGGCGGCGACGTCGACGTCTGGGTCGCCGAGGTCTTGGTCGACGTCTACGACGAGGTCGCGCCGCCGCCGAGGAAGAACCAGAGCGCGCTCCTGTCGCCGTCGCTCCAGGTCGGCGTCGAGGCGGCCGCGGCGAACGACGGGCCGGCGCCGAAGCAGGCCGTCAAGGTGAGGATCCGCGCCTTCGACAACCGCACGGTCCAGACGAAGAAGCCCCCGAAGCCCGTGGAGCTGCGCTGCCCCTGCGACCACGTCGGCCGCGTCAATTACACGTGCGACGACGGCGCCGTCTTCGAGAACGAGTGCAACGGCACGGAGAGCGTGCTCGCGGTCCAGTGCGCGACGACGACGACGGTCTGCGAGAGCTGGAACAGCGACACGGGCCGCTGGCTCGCGTCCTGCGTGCCCTTCGCGACGAACGCGTCGGGCGTCGTCGGCTGCGCGTGCGACCTCGACCTGAACTCGCGCGCGGCGTTCGCGCTGCGCAACGACTACGCGGGCAGCCTCGAGGCCTACACGTCGTCGTTCCGGGGCGCGCCGGCGCTCCGGCGCGCGCGCGTCATGCTCCTGGCGCTCGCCGCGGGCTTCGGGGGCTGCCTCGTGCTCTCCGCGGTCTGCGCCGCGCGCGACAAGCATGACGCGAAGCAGAGGCACCGCAAGAAGAAGCGCTTCGAGGTGCGGAGCCCGCGGGCCAAGCCCGGCGGCGCGCCGCCGCGGCCCGAGGGCAAGGAGGACGAGTCCATCTTCCAGGAGTCGCTCGCGCAGCTGAAGCTCTTCGCGTCGACGCGCTCGTCGTGGAAGCGCGCGTGGAAGCTCATCAAGATCGGCCACCCGGTCCTGAACATCCTCACGGAGTACAGCGAGCACGCGAGCCGCGTGGCGCGGCTCTGGAAGTTCGGCTTCGAGATGCTCGTCTTCATGTCGGGCGTCGCGCTCGCGACGAATTTGCACTACCCGGACCCCGGCTGCGAGGACCAGCGCGTCCCGTCGGAGTGCCTCAAGTTCCACAACCTGCAGTTCAAGATCCCCGGCGTCTACACGTCGGCGGAGCGCGACATGTGCGAGTGGGACGCCTGCAGCCGGTCCTGCGTCTTCCACGAGCCGGGCGCGTCCGAGGCCCAGTCCTTCGAGCACTACCTGACCATCGGCCTCACGCTGGCCGTCATCCTGCCCATGATCCTGATCATCGACGTCTGCTTCGAGCACTACCTCATCAGCGGCGTCCCGGAGGCGCTGCGGTGCTGCGCGTCCCCGGACGCGGACGGCGGCGCGCCGCCGGCCGCCGAGGGCGCGCCGCCGCCGGCGAAGCGCGTCGTCTGGGACGACGTCGACGACCAGTCCTTCCGCAAGGGCCGGCGGGGGCACCGGAGCTCCGTGCGGTCGCCGGCGCGCAAGGCCGCGGCGAAGCTCTTCAAGGGCCCGCGGCGCCTCGTCCGGAGCTGCTTCCGCTTCTTCGCGGCGCAGGAGCACCGCGCGGAGCTCGCGGCCGTCAAGGCGACGGTGAAGACGCGCCTCGACGTCGTCGACGCGGAGCGCATGGCGCCCTTGGTCGCCGACGCCGTCGTCGCGCGCGACGACGAGCTCCGGGCCGCGCTGGAGCAGCTCGAGGGCGCGACGAGCCTCGACGAGCGCCGCGCGCGCTGGGTGCTCAAGCAGCTGCGGATCCACCTCATGGACGACTGGGCCTACGTCGAGGACCGCGCGCTCTTCGAGACGTCCGTGGCCTACATCATCCGGGGCCGCGTCACCGCGGCCGCGCGGTGGAACGACGAGATCGCCGCCGTCGAGGGACGCACCGCGAAGCAGACGAAGCAGCTCCGCGCCGCGAAGCTCATGGAGTTCGAGCGCGTCGCGCGCCTGCGGCCGCTGGAGCGGTCCATCTACGCCATGGGCCAGAACCGCGTCGCGGACCTCGAGGCGCCCGAGGGCGTGTCCGCGGTCGCGTACGTGTGCGCGTGGGCGCTCGTCGTTGTGATCGTCGCGCTCAACGTCTACTACTTGATCCTCACGGGCAGCGACTACGGGCCGGGCAAGACGGCGGAGTGGATCAACGCCGTCGTGACGTCGTTCGTGCTCTACTACCTCGTCATCAACCCGCTGCAGATCCTGTTCTTCACCATGTGGCTGCCCTCGCTGCTCAAGGAGCACTTCTCGCGGTGGCGCGACCCGACCGCGTCGGCCCAGTTCCCCTTCCAGACGAAGCTCCCGGCGTCGCCGACCTTCTTTTTGGCCGTGTGGCACCCGGAGCTCCACGACACGAGGATCGGCAAGTACTGCCTCGGCGAGCTCGAGCACCGCGCGGATCTGGAGGGCGGCGACCTCGTGAAGACGCTGAACCGGGTCTACCGCGAGGCGACGTGGAAGCCGAGCGTCCAGGTGCGCTTCACGCTGGCGCTCCTGTCCTGGTTCCTGCGGCTCCCGGAGTGGGGGCAGGAGGTGCTCTTCGAGGAGTTGTTCGCTTCGCGCCCCTACTACGTGTTGAAGATCGTCTCCGCGGTGCTCTTCCGCTGCTTCGACGCGTGCCTCCCCGACCGCGACGTCGAGCACGAGCCGCCCGCGCCCGCCGTCGCGCACCCGTCGTCGCCGAAGCCCCCGAAGCGGGCGACGGCGCCGCGGAAGAAGAAGATGCCGAAGAAGGCCGAGACGAAGAGCGACGCGTCCATGGAGGGCATCGCCATGACCGCGCTCGCGCTCGTGCGCCCCGAGTTCGACGACGACGCCGTGGACCTCGGCGGAAGCCCGCGCGCGCGGTCCCGCTCGGGCCAGGTCGACGACGACGGCTTCTGCCCGGACACGCCGCGGAGCGCCGAGCGCTTCGGCACGGCGAACCCCCTCCGGTCGCCGCGCGGGACGTCGTCCGGCGGCGGGGACCGCGACCCGGGCGCGCGCAAGGCGAGTCTCTAAGAGGCTGGCGGCGGCGATGATAGCGACTGTATTTTTCAGGCTACGCCCTAGTAGTCTACCGGGGTAGGCTCGATCGGAGGCGGTGACTTCCACCAGAACTCACGGTCCACGTCCGTCGAGAGCTGGCCGCCGCGAGATTTCAGTATGGCATCAATGCGCCCAGTCTTCGAGGTGTCGGGCTCGCAGCCTTCAAACTGACTATCCCAAATAATATTGCCGGCATTCCAGGTGACTTTGAGAAGAGAGGGACACCCATCAACGATGCGAATAATAGAGGCTGAGTCGAAAATAGTGTCGGTCGGACCGCCTCCCGGGGAGCAAAACACGTGGTGGAACTGGATCTCCTGCAGCGTCTTCGAGCACGGGCTTGCGAGCAGCGAATCCACAATTGTCCGAGCACACCGCATGTTTCCCTTGAATTCGACACACTGCAAACCAAAGAGCGCAAATACTCGCTTCACGCAGGCGTCGTTGACGTTCTCCCCGAGACCAAAACTGAGGCGAGTGAGTTCCGGTCGAGCGCGGTGCAGATCCTCTAGGAACTCCAGAACTGCGGCCGGTCGGCTCTGGCCAGGTTTCGTAGGAAAGGCTCCCCAGCACCAAAATTATACTTCATTTTTTTATCTCCAAAAAACTGCGGCAGCCAGGACCGAATACGCGCCCGATGGCCTCGATGGCGCGCGTGGACACGCTCGCGCCCGACACGCGCGGCCCGTAATAATGCTCACGAGAAACGAGGCCGTCGAAGTTCGAAAAGGAGCGGCAGTCCGGACGGATCGTCACGGCGCGGCGCACCGCGTCGCGACCGGTGGCGAACGCGACGCGGAGCGCCAGCAGATCGCTGCGCGGCACCCAAGACGACACGTACGCCAGCGTGTCCGGCAGGATGCGATTCATCGCGTCGCCGCCGTAAGGTGCCAGGCGGCGCAAGGGATACGTCGTTTCCATGAAGTTCGCCGCGTCGTGGGCCCCGTTCTAGCGCAAGCTTAGCAAGAGCGCGTCGAGCTCGACCGTCTCCTCGGGGTCCTTCCGTGCGCCGCGGCCCCGCCCCGCGTCGTGGCCGCTCTCGCGCAGGAACTACGCAACCGTGTCGAGTCCGACCGTCCGGGGGCTCGTGTTGATTGGCTCGTGCGCGCGCGGGTGCTTAGCTCGTCTGCGTGAGTGTAGTGCCTGCACGGCTCATAGCCGTCTCGAACCCAGGCCGATCGAGCAGTGCATCTTGAAGGCCGTCGAGGCGGCGCGCGCCTAAAAGGCTGTTACGGGCCGGCGGTGCGCCGCGGCGAGGAGGAGGGACTTGCGGCTCTGCGCCGGCAGGTGCACGTCCTCGGGCTTGCGCGTGGACGCGTGGATGAGCACGGGGAAGGGCGAGCCCGGCCGGTAGAGGGGCACGCCGACGGTGCCGGACCGGTCGGCTTTCCGGTGGCCGTAGAACGCTCGGCTCACGAGTTCCTTGCGCTTGTCGTCCTGCTTCTCGAGCTTGCCGCCGACGTTGACGGCGGACTTGGACGTCGCGTAGCGCGACACGTACTTCTCGCCGCCGCCGAAGACGAGCTTCGCGGGCCGGCCGCTCCCGCCGAGGACCTGGCGGATCGTCCGCGACGCGCGCGACCGCTGGGGGCTGCAGGTCGTGTGGGCCTTGGCCTTGTCGCGCCGGTCGAGCTCGAAGAGCAGGCGCTGGGGGAAGGTCGCCTCGAGCTGGGCCATGCGCCGCGCGGTCGCCGAGCGCTCGCGGTCCTCGTCGCCGAGCGGGCCCGTGATGCGGTCGCTCCACTCCTTGTGTTTCACCAGCGTCCGCAGCGTGCCCTGGAGCTCCCGGCACCGCTTCACGTCGGGCTCCGTGGACGTCGTCGCGTGGGCCATGAGCGCCTCCATGACCTGGCCCCGCCGGTTCATGAGGATCTGCGTCCGGAGGTCGAGCTCGTGGAGCCGCAGCTCCTCCGCGCGCTTCGCCGCGGCCTTGTCGCCGCTCGTCGACGGCGCCTTCTTGGGCTTGACGGCCGCGGAGGCGCGGCTCCGCAGCTCCTCGGGCTTGAGGCCGTGCGTCGCGACGAACGCGCGGAACTCCTCGATGCTCAGGCCCTTGATGCCGTCGCTGTCGTGGAGCTCGATCTGCTCCGCGAGGTCCTCGACGTCCGTGCGCGTCTTCGCCATGCCCAGCACCGTGAAGGGGCCGATGAGCTCGTGGGCGTCGACCGTGTTCGTGTGGTCCACGTCCAGCGACCGGAACCACTCGTCGACGTCCTTCAGGTGCTCGTGGCGCTCGCGCATGGCCTCGTAGCCCGGCCGCTTGTGGATGCGGCTGTGGCGCCGCGAGTCCTCCATGTTGCTCTCGGCGCGGTGCTGCTCCAGGAGGTGGGCGCGCCGCGTGCTGTCCAGGCGCAGCTTCTCGAGGAGCTCCGTGCGCGTCTCCTCGGCGACGTCGGGGCTGTCGACCTTGAGATCGCTGCTCAGCTTCACGAGGGACCCCAGGCCCCGCGAGTTCGGCCGCTCCTCGTGGATCATCGCGTCTCTTTTGACGACCTACGGGCTGCCCATCTCGGGCGCGTTGCCGATGCTCTCCGAAGGCTTGCGGTAACAACTGCTTCGTAAGATGCCGAAGCCGACAGAGCCGCAAATATTGAGCTGAGTGAGGTGTGCCCGGCGGGGCTGCGTTTCGACGTGGGGCTATGCCGTAATGAGCATGCGGCTCCTGGCCGCGTCGCTGGTGGCGCTGGCCTGCGTCGCCGACGAGAGCTGCAGCCCCTGGTACGATGAGGACTGCATCGCCGTCGTCTGCTGCGGCGACTCCATCACCGAGGGCGCCGACGTCGAAGCGGGCGAGGACTGGCCGTCGCTCCTTCAGGAGCTACTCGGGGCTCAGTACCGTGTATACAACAAGGGCTTGAGTGGTCATACCCTGACGGCGACCGACGTGGAGTGGGCGGCGAGCGAGCAAGGCGAGGAGGCCATGGAGATCACCGTCGCGGACGTCTTCATCGTCGGCCTCGGGACGAACGACGCCAAGGACGAGTACTGGTCCGCGCCCGGCTTCAACGAGACCTACATCGACGAGTACGGCGCCCTCATCGCGACGCTGCGGGGGCTCGGCACGAACCCGGAGCCCGCGGAAATCTTCGTGACGATTCCGCCGCCGCAGCTCGAGGCCAACACGCTCTGGCCGGACACGTCCTTCATCAACGAGGAGCTCCCGGAGGCCGTGGCCGAGGTCGCCGCGCGGAACAACGCCTCGTCGTTGGTGGATCTGCGGCCGCTCTTCGGCGGCGACGACCCGGATGGCTCGCTCTACGCGGACCGCATACACCCGAACGCGGCGGGTTTCGCGCTGATCGCCGCGCGCATGGCCGACGCCGTGCGCCTCCGCTTCGAGCCGCCGACGGCCGTCCCGACGCTGTCGGCGCCGCCGTCGGCGACGCCGCGGCCGTCGACGGCCGCGCCGTCGCCGCTGCCGTCCTACGAGCCGACCTACGCGCCGACGACGTCCCACCCCTCCTACGCGCCGTCGACCTACGCCCCGACGACCTACGCGCCGACGACCTACAAGCCCTCGAGCCGCCCTTCGGAAGCGCCGACGGCCATGCCGACGCCCGCGCCCTCGCCGCTGCCGTCGCCGCTGCCGTCGCCGCTCCCGTCGTCGCTGCCGTCGGCGGCGCCCGTCCCCGCGCCCACGCGCGCGCCCATCGTCGGCTCCGCCCCGCCGACGACGGCCGAACCGTCCCCCGCGCCGACCCCGGCGCCGACGCGGGCGCCGTCGCGGGCGCCGACGAGGACGCCGACGACCGCCGCGCCGGCGCCGCGACCGTCGCCGGCGCCGAAGACGTCCCCTGCACCGTCGCCGCGACCGTCGCCGGCGCCGACGCCCCGACCCACGGCGGCGCCGACGGCCGGCGCCCTGTTGTGCTGCCTCTCCATGGACGCGGCGTGCCTCGCGTGCTCCGCGGGCGTCACCGTCGACGCCTACTGCGCGGACCACCCGGCCGCGGACGGCTGCCCGCCCGCGCCGACGCCCCGGCCGACGCCCCAGCCCGTGTCCGCCGCGGCGGACGACGACGACGAGGCCGACAGCGCGGCCGCGTCGCCCGTGCTCTTCGTCGGCCTCGCGGTCCTCCTGCTCGGCGTCGTCGCCGTCTGCCTCGCCTTCCACGCCTACCGCAAGTTCCGGAAGGAGGAGGCGGCGGCGGACGCGCCGGGCCGCAAGGGGACCATCCTGCGCGACGACGACGTCGAGCTCGCCGTGCGGGAGGGCGGCGAGGCGCCCCCGCCGGCGCCGGCGCCCGCGGAGGAGGCGTCGCGGCTCCTCGCGTCGCCCGAGTCCGCGGCCGGGGAGGACGAGCCCGACGAGCCGCCGCGGGTGGAGATCGACTTCGCGGCGACGCCCGAGCGCCCGGTCCGCGAGCTGCAGATCGACACGGTCATGGCGGAGACGACGTTCCTCGCCAACTCGCCGCCGACGAGCCCGACCGTGGAGACGCCCGTCGTCGAGGCCTTCGTGGCCCCGTCGCCGCCCGCGAGCCCCGGCGCGGCCGCGCCGGCCGTCGACAGGTTCCTCGCGAACTCGCCGTCGCCGACGATCGCGCCGGCGCTCCTCGTGTCGCCGCCGCCCCTGGACCTCGCGCCGCCGGCCCTGGACGTCGCCGACGACGCCCGGGCCGCGTCCGACGACGAGCCGTCGCTCTTCGTGGCCGCGCCGGACCCGACGTCGCCCGCGCCGGACTCGCCGGACGAGGCGAGCGCGGCGGCCTTCCTCGAGGAGGCGCTCCCGCCGCCGCCGCCGCCGCCCGAGGCGGAGGCGCCCGCGAAGGACGTGACGCTCGAGGTCGGCGAGGAGCCCGCGCCGGAGACGCCGCGGCGACGGCCCTCGGAGGCGGAGCCGGGCTCGCCGTCGCCCGCGCAGCGCACGCTCCAGGCCGCGGCGACGGCCATCGGTTGGCTCCGCCCGGCGCTCTGGGCCAAGACGGGCTCCGCGGACGGCGACGCGGACGTCGCCGCGGACGCGGCGAAGGTCGCCCAGATGGAGGCGCCTCCGGAGGCGCCCGCGGCGGAGGCGCCCGCGGCGGCACGCGAAGGGCCCGAGCCGGCGAGGCCCGTCTCCGCGTCCGTCGAGCTTTAGGAATTGACTGACACAAACGCGAGGGGCGACCGGCTCCTGCAGCGTAGAGCTCATTTTTGGTGCGCCCTGCAGCGTAGAGCTCATTTTGGTGATTGGCACAGACGGGGCGGACGCGTCCGGGCTCAGCTCCTTGGCTCGATTAGGCCGCCCCAACTTGATGCTCAGCAAAACGTTTTGGGCGAGGATGAGGGCGCGGGCCATGGTGTTGGTGCTGGGACTTGGTGACGGCGCGTACGAACTAACTGGGATGCGAGTGACGTCGGAAGGCTTCTGGTGCACGTTCAAGTTCTAGCAGCGCCGCGTCTCGCTCGGCCCACTGGCAGACGCGTAGAGGAGCCCGGGCTCGTCCAATTACGCGTAGAGGAGCCCGGGCTTCACGCCGGGGTTCGCGCGCCAGAAGAGGACGATCGCGCGGTCCCGGTCGCTCGGGACCCGGACGGAGGTCATCTTGAAGGGCTTGAAGGCGAGCACGTGGAACTCGGCGTCCATGAGCGTCTTCGTCAGGAGCTCCCAGGGGAAGTTGGTGCCCTCCGTGTAGAGCTCGACGACGTTCTCGATGAGGCCGCCTTTGAGCTTCTTCTCCTTGTCCCGCTTGATGATGTTCTTGACGATGGTCGGCGTGTCGTAGACGCCTTGGCAAAGAGGAAGCGCGACGCCGTTGTTGGGCTCGGAGGACTTGCTGAACCCCTCGCACTTGGTCGAGATGACGACGAAGAGGGACCGCTTCGCGAAGCGGAGGCACGCGCGGACGGCGGCCGAGAGCTCGCGCCCTTGGTTGAAGTTGACGGTCTTCGGCTTCAGCTCGGGACCGACGACGCGCCGTCCGAACATTTTGACGCCCGTGTCCAGCCTGACGGCGCAGATATCGAGGGAGAGGGTTTTGGAAAAACCGGCCCGGCGCGCGAGCGACGTTCCAATACCCACCGACGCCCCGAAGGCCGCGACGGCGCATCCCATGGGCACGGCGCCGAGGGCGATGAGAAGCCCGCCGAGCTCTAAAAGGACCCGAGGCGGCAGAGCGTCCGCGATGAGCTTGCCGCCGAAGCCGAGGGAGAGCGAGGCGATGGCTCCGCTCGCGCGCGGGTCCAGGTCGAGCGACGCGGCCATGCCGACGACGCCGACGTGCATGTCCTCCGGTACGGTCGCTCCGAGTCCCAAGAGATGCACGTCGTGCTCGTGTCTGACCGGATGCTTGACTCGATTCGCGCACGAGCCTCTCAGCCTACCAAGGGACGATGCATCGCGATGGGGTCGATTCCTCTCGAGTTCCGCGCGAGAATCGACACCTCGGTTGTCGGGCTCGGGCGCGTGACGTTGGCAGATCCGAGCTCGTGCTCCACAGCACTCTCCCCGCGGTCTGTCGCGACTTTATGGCCACGTAGTCCGGCGCGTCGATCTTGCGCTTCTCGAGCAGCTCGCGGAACGTCGGCCGCTTCTTGAGCAGCTCCGTCTCGCGCTTCCGCCAGGCCGCCAAGACCGTCGACGGCAGCGGCCCCTTGAAGTGGGCTTCCTCCTCGACCTCGTCGCCGCTGTCGTCCTCGTCGCTCAAGCCGTCGACCTGGTACTCGAAGGGATCGTCCTCGTCGCTGCTGTCGCTGTCGCTCCAGTCGACGGGCAACGGCCGCAGCAGGCTCGCGTCGACCGGCCGCTGCGTCTTCATGACTTTCGAACCTACCGTCGTCTCGACCACGGCCATCACGACGACGGCGACGGCCGACACCCACGTGCCGTTGTCGCAGTACCGCACGCCGACGCGGACCTCCGTGGACGCCTTGGGCACCGTCGCGGCCTTGCGCCGCTTCCCCGCCGTCGCCTTGCGCTCCGCGGCCTCGGCGGCGAGCTTCGCCGCCGTCGCCTTGCGCTCCGCGTCCGCCTCGCGCGTCGCCCGGCGCCAGCCCGTGAACGCCCGCATGAGCTCGCGCCGCGGCGCGCCGGCGCGCCAGATCGCGCGCGTGGTCTGCCCCGTGGCGAGCAGGCGCGCCATCTGCGCGGCCTCGGCGAGCACGGCGGCGTGCGCGGCGGCGTGCGCGGCGCGCGCTTCGCGCTTTCGCAGCTCGGCTACACGCCGAGAAAACACACCGTTTATTGCTTTTTCGTTGTCATCCATGCGCGGCGTGCGTTGGACAAACTTCTCGCGGAGCGCTTCCAGGCTGTCCGCCGCCGTAAGCTCGTGTCGTAGGGCACGGTACAATGTCGCGGCGAGCGCGTCGTCGACCCGCGACGCCGCGAGGCGCTCCTCAATGGGCACGTGTACCCCCTTCCCCATCTCGGCGGGCAGCGTTAACCGTCTCGGGCGGGCAGCGCCATCGAAAGTAATCGGCGTTAGAGTTGAGGCGCACGGTGACCGCACGATGCGCTTCGCGGTTTCGTGAAGAGGACGTTGCCGTTTGGCCAAGAGCGTCTGGGCCAGCGGAACGTCGCGCGCGGGCGCCGTAGGGACCATGGAGAACATGGACGAGGACACGGACCCGGCGCCAATGCCAAAACTTAGCGCACTCGAGCGCAACGCCTACGAGGCCGTCGTCGGCGGCGACGGCGACGACTGCAAGTCGTCCAGCGACATCGCGCGCGACGTCGGCGCCCCCGTCACGGTCGTCCGCGCGACGCTGGGCGCGCTCGTCGACCTCGGCCTGCTGTGCGACTTCTACGACGCCCCGGACCGCGCGACGCCGGCGGCGGCCGACTCCAGCCTCGCCGGCGTCATCTCGGCGCTGGCGTCGGTGACGTTGATCGCGCCGGACAAGGCCCAGATCCTCGAGTCCCTCGTGGCCGCGATCGTCGAGGAGGACCAGCTGACCGCGGCCACGCGCGAGCAGATGGCCCGGCAGGCGGCCCGGCAGCCGCTCCGCGAGGTCCTCGCGCCGCGGCGCGCGTCGCCGGGCCAGGCCCCGCCGGCGAAGCGACCGCGCGACGCGGCGCCGGACCCGCCGCTCACCGCGGCGTTGGAGTCGCCGCCCGCGCCCCGCGTGACGCGCGCGACGGCTAAGGAGGCGGCGGCGGAGGCCGCGCAGCTCGCGGACGAGGCCCGCGGCAACGCGGCGCCGGCGGCGACGGGCGCCATGGACGAGGACGACCCGCCGGCGGCGCCGGACGCCATGGACGAGGAGGCGCCGGCGGCGCCGCAGGACGACGCGGCGCTGGAGTCGGAGGACGACGACGAGGAAGCGGCCGTGGCGCCGGACGGGCGGAAGAAGCCGTCCGCGCCCGACGGCGGCTGGGCGAAGCACCGGCGCGACCTCGGCAACGAGCTCGCCGCGTCGCGGCCGGCGGTCCCCGGCGGCTACGACGCGGCGCCCAGCTTCGGCCTGCCGCCGGGCGGCGACGACGCGACGCAGTGGACGCCGACGCCGCTGCTCCGCGTCGTCCGCGTCGTCCGCTCGGCGACGGTCGAGGCCGCCGCCGTCGCCGCCGCCGCCGCCGCCTTCATCCCGCTGGTGCGGACGAAGGCGCGCCGCTACAAGGTCGACGTGCCCGAGGAGCTCACGCAGGAGAAGGGCGACGCGCGGCGCGGCAAGGGCGGCGCCCTGTGGCAGGTCTGGATGACGTGCGTCGCGGCGGCGGCGCTGGCGCAGCCCCGCCTCGGGTCCGGCGGCATCTGCCTGCCCGACTGGTTCGCGGGCACGGTGCGGCTCAAGCCGGTGGACGTGCTTGGGCTCATCTGCGCGGACGGGTCGTTCTACGTCACCGTCTCGGGGGTCTTCGGCATGGCCTCCCGCCTCATGATCGAGGCCGTGCTGAGCGTGCACTCCAGGGCGGGACGAGGGTGATTCAACGTCGCTTCAACGTGAGTGTTTCGCGCGCGCCCGTTCTGGAAAAAGCATCCACGCTTCGAGACCATTCCGAGAGATGATCGCTCGTCCAAAAATCAGCCGAAACGAGTGGAAACCGGCCGAGAGAGGAGCCTTTGAAGTTGGGAATTTCGCACTCTTGTCCTGCCCAGGTGCACTCCATCCAGCTCCTCGTCGCGCTGAAGAACGCGATCGGCACGGGCTCCGTCCACATCCTCGCGTGCCGGCACCTCGGCTACTACGTCAAGGTCGTCTACAAGGCCAGCGACAGCACGATGCTCCGCTTCCTCGCCACGCACTGGCACCTCGGCGGCGTCAAGGCGCGCCAGCTCCAGCTCGCCAACCTCGCCTTGCGCGAGGCCAAGCTCTGCCTCGGCCGGGGCTACGGCATCGCCTGGCACGAGGGCACGCAGCTCCAGTACGACGCGCGCAACGTGCTCTTCGCCGTGCTCAAGCGCCTCAAGTCCGCCGACGCCGTCAAGTCGACGTCGGCGAACGTCGCCTGGTACGGCGGCCTGTTCGCGGCCATGACCGCGGACCAGTTCGTCGCCATGGTCACCTTCTTCTTCGAGGGCGACGGCGGGTCCTACATCAGCGACGGCAAGTTCTGCATCGGCTTCTTCCAGTCCGACCAGGGCTTCCTCGTCGCGCTCCGCGACGCGCTCGTGAGCCGCCGCCTCGTCGCGGCGGCCGGCGACTTCCACGTGACCGAGACGCCGGCCAAGGTCGTCGGCCCCACGGTGCACAAGCGGACGCGCAAGGCGTACCGCTGCGAAGTCTACAGCGCGCCCGCCTGCGTCGCGCTCGCGCGCGCGCTGTACGGCGTCTACGAGGACCGCGGCGCCGCGCACTTCCCCAAGGCGCGGAAGCTGAAGCTCATGATCGACCACGGCAAGCCGTCCGCGGCGGCCGTGGCCGCCTACAAGCTCATCAAGGACTAGTCCTCCGCTCCCTCAACCCTCCGTAAATAGGCCCCGCGAGAATCCCGTAAATTCCCTCGCGGAGCCGACGCGGTTTACGTCACTTCGGGCAGATCGAGTTGCAGACACCGGCGCCGCGGCTCGGCAGCGGCAACGGCGGCAAGCACGCGCAAACCCGGCGCTCCGTGCCAACCCCCTCACCGCCATCTGACGCGCGACAGCTAAAAAAAAAACCCATGCGCGCCGCCGCGGCCCGGCGGACGCGACGACGGCGGGCGCGCGCGGTCGTCGGGCTCATCGCTCTGACGTCCTGCGGCGCCGGGTGGGTCGATCCGGACAGCCCGAGCTCGGCGCAGAGCACGACGGAGATCGGCGGCAGCGACGAGTACGACCTCGTCTACTCCGACGAGTTCGAAGTGGCGCGTCGCGCGGCGTCCCGCTTTTCGATTCGCCTTCGACGCGCCGTGACCGCCGAATGCCCCGTAGGACGGCCGCACGTTCCACGAGGGCCACGACCCGCGGTGGACGGCCGTGAACAAGAACGACTACACGAACATGGCGCTCCACTTCTACCACGCGTCCGCGGTGACGACGTCCGGCGGCGCGTTGAACATCTCCACGAGCTACAGCCCGACGAGCTTCGAGTCCGCGGAGGACGACAAGGGCTTCGTGGTGATGACGAAGCGGCGGAAGCCCTACAGCTCGGGCATGGTCCAGGGCTGGGGCAAGTTCTGCTTCACGGGGGGCATCATGGAGGTCCGCGCGAAGCTGCCCGGCGCGGGCGCCGTCGGCGGCCTGTGGCCCGCGATGTGGTTGTTGGGGTCGCTGGCCCGGGCGACCTACGTCGGGTCCACGGACTGGATCTGGCCCTGGTCCTACGACACGTGCGACCGGAGCCTCCAGCCCAAGCAGGAGATCAACGCGTGCGAGCCAGAGCCGCACTTCGGCCTCGACGGCTACACGGGCCGCGGCGCGCCCGAGATCGATTTACTCGAGGCCATGCCCGGGACGGGGACCATGAACTACGGCCTCAAGAAGCCCTACTTCAGCGCGTCCTACCAGGTCGCGCCGGGCAAGCCCCACGACCGGCCCATCGAGGGCAAGCGGCCGCAACCGGGCCAGTGGTACGAGAAGGGCCTCAAGTACGGCCGCAACGTGTCCATGAACGCCTTCTTCTACGGCGAGGAGCTCAAGCACAAGGCGAAGCGCGACTCCTACACGGCCGACGCCATCTCCGCGAACCGGCCCATCGGCGACGAGCACTTTGACGACTTCCACGTCTACCGCCTCGAGTGGCAGACCAAGCCCGACGGCATGCTCCTCACCTGGTACCTCGACGACGAGCTCATCTTCGAGCTGCCGCCGGAGGCCCTGGAGCTCACGGGCGCGAAGATGCCCGACGAGCCCATGCACGTGCTCCTCAACACCGCCGTGTCGTCGACGTGGGGGTTCCCCGCGCCGTGCCCGCCGGGCTGCGACTGCACGTGCTACGACTGCATCGGCAAGGTCGCGGACCCGGCCTGCTCCTGCGGCATGCCCGAGGGCCTCTGCGCCATGCTGCCGGCCTTCTACGAGATCGACTACGTCCGCGTCTACCAGAACCCGGACGACGACACGCACAAGGTCGGCTGCTCGACGGACACGAAGCCCACGGCCAAGTTCATCGCCGGCCACAAGGAGCGCTACTTCGACGCCTACAACGGCGAGACGAAGCCCCTCCACGACCAGATCGTCGGCGGCGGCAAGTGCAAGCGCGACGCGGACTGCGGGCCCGAGTCGGCGTGCGAGGCCAAGGCGTGCGCGTGCGCGGGCGACTGGCTCGGGCCCCACTGCCGCGCCTACCGGGGCTTCGACGACGTCGTCTGGGAGCACGAGCAGACCCTGGGCTTCCACGCCCCCTTCGTCCCCGCGAGCCTCGGCCGCGCGGCCGTCGTGCTCTCGACGAGCCTCGCCGCGACGCTCGCCTACCACGTCCTCAAGCGGCGCGAGGGCCGACAATAGGCGCGCCTAAACCACGATCGCGCCGCTGTACTACACCGTGCCGGGGAGGTACAGCGTCGCCGCGTAGACCGCGACGAGGCCCGCGACCAGCGCGGCGTAGGCGCACGCGCCGCTCCCGGGCGCGTCGTCGGCGCGCGCGGCGGCGTTCGGGTGCGGCGGGACCGCGTTCTGCGCGACGACGTTGGGGAGCACGTTGGCTTCGAGATCCGCCCGCAGGTACCGCTGGAGCGGCCCCGGCGCGTCCAGCAGGTAGCGGTGGGGCGTGCCCCAGGGCTCGTGCGTCGTCTCGAACCAGACCTCCTCGTAGGCCGCGCAGCTCCCCGCCCACGCCGCGAGCTGGTCGCGGCCGTAGCGGTCGTCGCCCTTGGCGCCGCAGGCCGCGAGCGCCACGGGCAGCGGCGGGTCCCCCCGGAGGGGCCGGTACGTCTCGAGGCACTGGAAGTCGGCGAGGAGCAGGTCCTCGACGAAGTCGCGGATCGCCGGCACGGCGAGTTGCGGGTTCGCGCCGTAGCGCCGCTCGAACGCGGCCCAGAACGCGCCGCCCCGGAGCCCGTGGAGCTCCGGCGCGAGCGCGTCGGCGTCGTGCTCGGCGCCGGCGAGGGACGGCGCGCGGTTGCCGCTCACGTAGACCTTCTCCGGCACCGTCTCGCCGCGGCGCCACCGCTCCTGCGCGAGCTCGTACGCGACCCACGCGCCGAACGAGTGGCCGACGACGACGTAGGGCCCGTCGAGCAGAGGCGCGAGACCGTCGGCCAGGGCGTAGACGAGGGGCCGCATGGACCTGAAGGCGCGCTCGTCCATGCGCGAGCCCCGGCCGGGCAGCTCCACGGGCCAGAGCTCGACGCCGGGCGGCAGCGCGTCGTGCCAGCCGTGGCCGTGCCAGCCGCCGGCGCCCGTGCCCGCCTGGGCGATGGCGACGACCGTGAGCTTTCTCGTGGCGCGCGGCGCCTTCTGCGCCGCGGCCGACCGCACGACCCAGGGCCCGAGCACCACATCGTTCATGGCTGCCCACAGCCGCGTTGCGCACTGCTGCCCTAAGGAGACGCCGTGGACCTCATCATGGCTGCCCCGCAGCCAATGACTGTAGCACGCTAAAAAGTTTTTAGTTGAAGTTCAATTACCAACCGGCGCCTCGCGCGGGCAGCGCTTCCGGTGGGAGAAGAGCCAGGCCTGCCTCGCGCACTCGGCGTCGCAGAAGTAGGTCGTCTCGCAGCAGCGGAGCTTGCGCAGCGCGTCGCGCGCGCAGAAGCCGCAGGACGACGCGGCGGACCGGTGAGATCTGGTGACGCGAAGGTGGCCCCAGCGGACGTCGTCGGCGGCCCAGCAGAAGAAGCCGCGGTAGAGCGAGGGCGCCGTGCCGATCGCGTTGTAGCGCGCGTTCGACCAGAAGAGCTTCTGCGCCGCCGGGTCCTCCTCCAACGCGGCGCGCGGCAGGTCCTGCTTGAACGCGACCGTGGGCTGGAAAAGGCCCGCGCGCGAGTAGGCGACGACCGTGAAGCGGACGACGCGCGCGCCGGCCTCGTCGGCCCGGAGCATCGCTTCGTCGACGCGGTCGACCGTGCGCAGCGCGAGGGGCGAGAGGAACGCGAGCGGCAGGAACGCGACGGTGCGCCAGGCGTCGTCGGCCTCGAGGCGCACGCGGAGGCGCCGCCCGCGGAGCGAGATGCCGTCGAAGCGCGTGGCCGCCTCCGCGGCCGCGTCGGAGCGGAAGACCGCGCGCGTCGGTGCGATCTCGGCGATGGCCGCGGCGGGCACGACGGCCGCGAAGGCGTCGCGGATCTCCGCCGCGGGCAGGCCGCGCGCGCCGCCGAGGACGACCGCGCGGTTCGAGTTCGGCCGGCGCATGGGCTGCGCGGCGACGACGAGCACGTACGACGCGTCCGCCGGGTCCGGGACCGCCGCGGTCCGGCCGGCGACGGGCGGCCGCGGGCCGTCGTGCGCGTGGGCGCAGATCTGGCGCCAGTCGACGCCGTCGTCGAGCTCCAGGGCCCGGACGAAGGGCGACCGCTTCGCCACGGCGCGCCAGAGCGCGTTGCAGCCCGCGCGCTTCCGCCAGCCCTCGCAGGTGTGCATGAGCGCGCAGAGCTCGGACGGGCCCAGGTAGCCCAGGGCCTCGCCCTCCGGGAGCACGTCGATCATGCACGCCATCGGCGCGCTGTGAGACAGGCGTTACACTTCACGGGCCCAGGTAGCCCAGGGCCACGCCCTAGGGGGAACCTCGATCATGCAGCCCATCACATCGGCGCGCTGGGGCTTTTGGGAGTTACAAAGTTGAATTCAAGAGCACCTCAATTTGCCGCGCCAGAATCGATTTTGCGATTTTGTCGGCAGCCACCTTCTAGCTTGGCAGCCCGCCGGCAGCCTCCTCGGACCGCATGGAGTTCGCGGCGACGCCCGAGGTCGCCGTCCTCGACGTCGTCGACGGCGAGCCCCGCACGGTCTGCGGCACCTTCGAGCTCTACAAGGAGGTGGGCAAGTCCGGCGGGCCGACCTACTACTGCCAGCAGAACCGGCTCTACCTCTACGAGCGGTCGCCCGGCGCCTGGGTCGTGGGCAAGAAGAGCGGCGGCAAGAGCTGCAAGGCCTACAACGGCGGCGAGGCGACGGTCGTCGGCGGCTGGAGCGTCTACCACGAGAAGCGGTGGGTCGGCTGGCCCGCGCTGCGCCTCGCGTTCGGCCGCGCGGCGCCCGAGGTCGCGTCGTCGCGGGCCGTCGCCGTCGAGTGTCGCTACGGGAACATCGCCGGCGGCTACGTCGCGTGCGACGACCGCGCGGAGAACGGGCGGCCCGTGTACCACAACGCCGAGGACGGCAAGGACCTCTGGTACGGCCCGGAGCGGCGCTGGCTCTTCGGCGACGCCGCGGGCCTCGACGCGTCCGGCGCCTACGCGTCCTACTTCGGGAGCGCGCCGACGGACGCGTTTAGCCCCGAGCGCGCGGACTGGTCCGCCGTCGCGCTGACGGTGCACCCCTGCGAGCCGCCGTCCGCGGGCGACGCGGCCGGCGAACACGACGAGGACGTCGACGACGGCGGCTTCCACGACCCGGACTTCGTCGCCGGGCCGGCGTCGCTCGACGAGCCGAGCGTCGGCGGCGCGAGCTGGATCCGCGCGTCCAAGCTCCACGGGCCGGACGAGGAGGTCCACCTCTGGGACGGCGTCGAACCGTCGGACATCATGCAGGGCGCGCTCGGCGACTGCTGGCTCTTGTGCGCTTTGAGCGCCGTCGCCGAGTTCCCGGGCTTCGTCGAGGAGGCGCTATTTGAAACGAAGGCGCCGACGGCCGACGGCCGCTACAGCCTCCGGCTCTACGACGCGAAGCTCGGCGACTTCGCGTCCGTCGTCGTCGACGACCTCGTGCCCTGCGGCCCCAAGAAGTGGTGGGAGGCGCCGCGGCCCCTCTTCAGCCAGCCCCACGGCAACGAGATGTACATCCTGCTCATCGAGAAGGCCTTCGCGAAGCTCGCGGGGTCCTACGGGAAGCTGTCGGGCGGCTACCCCGTGCTCGCGTGGCTCACGCTCACGGGCTGCGAGGACCTCCAGATGTGGCACCGGTCCGGCGAAACCTGGGCCAAGTCCATGGTCTCCATGCCCCAGGTCCGCGAGGACCCCCACAACTACCAGGCGCTCAGTCAGAGCAGGAAAGGGGTGTGCAATTCCCGACCTCAAAGGCTCCTATCTCGGTCGTTTTCCACTCGTTTCGGCTGATTTTCGGACGAGCGATCGTCCCTCGGAGCGTTCTCGAAGCGTGGATGCTGTTCCTGGAACGCGCGCGCGCGGAACACTCACGTTGAAGCGACGTTGAATCACCAGTTTCCTGCCCAGGCGCTCTACGCGCGGAAGACGGCCGAGGCGCTCGGCGACGCGGCCATGTTCGACTTCTTGCTGCACTGCGACGAGTCGAACTTCATCATGGCCGCGTCCATCACGGGCGACGAAATCGAGAAGCCCCGGGACGACGGCCTCGTCGAGCGCCACGCCTACAGCCTCATCCGCGTCGCGGCCGTCGGCGACGTCCGCCTCGTGCAGGCGCGCAACCCCTGGGGCAACTCGACGGAGTGGAACGGCGCCTGGTCCGACAAGGCGCCCCAGTGGCGCGAGCGGCCCGACGTCGCCGCGGCGCTCGGCTACGCCTTCGCCGACGACGGCCTCTTCTGGATGGACTGGCTCGACTTCAAGGCGACGTTCGACGCGGTCCAGGTCTGCGCGCGGCCCATGGACGCGAAGCGCGGCGACTTCGGCGCCGTCGCGCGCGCGCTCGACGACGGCACCGGCGCCCTCGAGGCCAACGCCGCCGTCGCCGCCGCGCCGCCGGTCTTTGCGGCCGCGCCGCCCGTCGCGCCGCCCGCGCCGCCGGAGCGCATCGCGGCCAAGCCCGAGGCCGCGCCCGACGGGCCGCCGCACCCGGACTGGGAGCCGACGCGCCTCGGCATCTCCTACAAGCCGAGCCGCCTCGCCATCGAGTACACGACGCCCGGGGGCGCCGCCTACCGCAAGCTCATCCCCGTCGTCCCCGCGGACGCGGGCGACTCGCCCGAGACGGTCCTCGGCGATTTGCAGGAGAAGTTCGGCGATTTTCTCGACTTCGACGCCAAGCTCAGCCGCACCCAGACCCTCAAGCTCGTCGAGATGCTCTGCCAGGCGCGCTAGGAACTCGCGTGTAACGGCGCGGGGACTCGCGCGAACGGCGCAACGCGGACTATCGTCGCGGGAACTCGCGGACCCAGACGTTCGCGCCGTACTTCGTGCAGCCGAGGCGCCCGTGGCGCGCGCAGCCGCGCGCGACGCGCTTCGCTTCGTGGAACATGAGCGTGTCCCGCACGGCGCCGTTCGCCTCGTCGGCGGCCCAGGCGTTGGCCCAGACGACGAGCTTGCCCCGCGCGGGCGTCACGGAGACGCCGAGCCGCGGGAACGCGGTCTCGCCGCCCGCGCCCGGCGGCAGCGCGTTCAAATACAAAAAAGCCGTGAGGACGCGGTGGCCGAGGCGCTCCATCTTCGCGAGGGGCGAGGCGCGCGCCGCGCGGCCCGCGCCCCGCGGCGACAGGGAGTCGTGGTGCTCCGCGTAGCGCTGGCCCGGCTCGTAGCGCACGAACTGCGCGGCCTCGTGGTAGGCCTCGGCGACGCCCGTGACCGCGGCGACGCGCGCCAGGACCGCGCGCGCGGCCGCGGAGGCGGCGCAGGCGTCGCCGCACCACGCGACGCCGCCGCTGCGGATGGCCGAGACGCGCGCCTTCTCGCCGGCCGCCCTCCCGAACCCGGTCGTCGCGGACGCGAAGCCCTGGGACGCCGCGGCGTCGACGAGCGCGCGCGCCTCGGCCTCGGAGGCGAAGTCTTCCAAGACGACGACCCACGACGACGCGTTGGCGACGCGGCCGGCGCAGTTGCCGCGGTCGCAGGGCCGCGGGGCGGCGACGACCCTGGGTCCATAGGCGCGGTGGCTCAGGAGGCGCTCGAAGGTCGCCAGGCTCGCGTGCGGCGTCGGCCAGGCCGGCGTGACGTTTCGAAATGCTGCTGCGATGGCAACGAACTGGAGCGAGGCCCAGCGGCAGCCTTGGCTCATGCCCTTGAGCAGGTCATCGTGCAATAGCAGCCTTGGCTCATGGTCTTGAGCATGCCATCGTGCAGCGGCAGCCTTGGCTCATGGTCTTGAGCATGCCATCGTGCAGCGGCAGCCTTGGCTCATGGTCTTGAGCATGCCATCGTGCATCTCGAGGTCGATGTTGCTCTCATATTGACGAGATGTTGCCGCAAGCTCTCGCGCGGCAACGCACGGACGGTCCGCCGCACGAACAGGCTGAATGCGCGGCGCCAAGGCCGCCGCCGGCGGCCCCCGCCGCCGCAGGAACCTCGCGACGCTTCGCCAGGACGACCTGCTGGCCATCTGCTGCCGCATCCCCTACGCGAGCCACGACGCCCTGCGCTGCGTCTGCCGGCGGCTCCAGGCCACGGCGGCCAAGGGCGCCCTCTACCGGCACCGCGTCGCGGCGGGCTGGGACGAGCGGGCCCTCATCGTCGCCGGCGGCGGGAACACGGTCTACGACCACCTCGACGACGAGCCCGAGCCCGAGCGGCCCGAGACGTGGGGCCTCATCGGGAGGGCGTGGCGCGCGCTCGCGCCGCAGCCCGCGCCGCGGTGCGACTGCGGCGTGGCCTGCGTCGGGTCCGAGATGGTCTGCGCCGGGGGCACGATCACGACCTGGGAGGACGAGGGCTGGGTCATGACGACGGGCGTGGGCGACGTCGTCGCGTACGACGCGTTCGCCGACAGTTGGCGCGACGTCGACGTGCGCCGCGACGGCGGCGGCCTCGACGCGCGGACGTCGGGGGCCTGCTGCGTGGACCCCGTGCGCGGCGGCCTCGTCGTCCTCGGCGGCTGGCGCGTCGTGGACCGCCACCAGTTCCGCGACGCCGCGGTGTCGTCGGCGCAGGCGCTGCCGGGCGGCCGCGTGCCCGCGGCGGCGCCCGCGGGGCCCTGGGCGCACCTGCCGGCGCTGCCCCAGGCCGTGTCCAACTTCGCGTCGGCGGTGCTCGGCGGCAAGCTCTACGTCGCGGGGGGCCTGCGGTGGGAGGACGACGGCCGGCGCCGGACGCCGTCGGACCAGCTCCAGGTCTTCGACTTCGCGACGCGGGCCTGGTCCTTCGGGCCCCGGCTCCCGAGCGCCCAGTACTACGGCGACGGCGCCGCCTTCGGGGGGCGGCTCTACGTCTGCGGCGGCAAGAACAAGAACCGGAAGCTCTCCGCGGCCGTCGCCGTCTTCGACCCGGCGACGGGCGACTGGAGCGACGGCCCGCCCCTGCCCGGCCCGCGCTACTACCACAGCGTCCTCGTCCACGACAAGCGCCTCGTCTGCGTCGGCGGCCACGGCAACCCGCTCGTGCTCGACACGTCGGGCTCGTCGCCCGCGTGGGTCGAGGACCCGGCCGTGCTGCCGCCGCTGCCCGAGGGCTTCGAGCACCCGCTATTGGCGCCCATGGTCTGCTCCGTGCCCGTCGGCTAGGAAATCCCATGTTAGTAACTCTTAGATCCCGATTTGTGCCAGCATCGCGTCGAGGATCTCGCCGTCTTGAGCGCTCGTCCCGCCGGACACCGCGAGGACGCCGTCGACGACCGCGCCCGCGTCGTCGACGTACGTGAACGGCGCCGCGCCCATCGTCGTCGTCGGCATGCCGCAGCACAGAATGCACGGCAGGTGGCAGCACATGAAGACGGGCATCGGCGTGGCGCCCGCGTTCTTCTTGCCCGACGCCTTGACCTCGAGCGCCTTGGCCCTGAGGATCTTGAGGATGATGTCCGGCGAGCCCTCGACCCGCCGCGAGTCGACGAGCGTCGAGCTGGCGTCGAAGACGGCGACGACGTACGCGTCGCACTTGTTCGCCTTCGCGAACTCGGTCATGGCGGGCAGCGCGACGTCGAGCGCATCCTTCGCGGATTTGGCCATGGTGTTTGCAGCACGCGGGGGTCGTTTCGTCGCCGCTCGAGGTCCGCGCGCGCGGCGCAGTGGCTGACGATGTTCGGGCTCGAGCCTGCCCTGTGGCTGCTGGCCAGCGCCGCAAAAGCGACCGGCAAGACGAAGTGCAAGGCGCGCCTTGAACTTCAACGTCGTTAGTCCTCGGTCTCCGGGCTCGTGGGGTACTCGTCGCGGAGGGCGGCCTCGAAGGCGGCGACGGGCGGCGGCGTCGGCGGCTCGGCGTCGAGGTTCGCGGGCGTCGGGATCGCGAGCGGGCGCTGCGGGTCCGCCGGCGGCGGCGGCGGCGGTTGCGCCTTCGCGACGTTCGACGGCGGGCCGACCTTGGGCGGCGGCGGCGGCGGCGGCGTCGCGGCCGGCGGCGCGTCGCGGGGCCCCGCGTCCGGGTCGTCGTCGTCGACGCGCTTGAGCCAGTCGTCGAACGTCGGCGGCTCGCCGGCGCCGCGCGGCGCCGCCGCCGCGGGCGTCGCGGCCGCGGCCTCGGCCGCCGCGGGGGCTTTCGCCGGCGTCTCCGGCGGCGCCTCGGCCTTGGGCGGGATCACGTTGGGCTTCGTGTTGGGCTTGAAGGTGCACTCGACCATCTCCGCCGTCGACTTGCGCGCGGCCGCGGCCGCGCGCTTCTCGTCGCGGCGCTTGAGCCACTCGGACGCGCGGCCGGCGACCGTGCCCTTGGCGGACGTGGCCTCGGCGGCGGCGACGGCCCGGCGCGCGACGTCGCCCCGGACGTCCCGGGAGCTCGCGAGCCGCGGCGCGAACGTGCAGCCGTCGAGCTCGCGGTCCGCGACGTCGCACTGCTGCTGCCGCCGCCGCTCGTGCGTGCGCCGCGCGTCGCGGTAGAGCTGCTCGTGGCGCAGCGCCTTCGTGCGCGCCGACGCGCTCTTCGCGGCCGGCGGCGGCGGCGCGTCGTCGAGGAACCGGGGGTCCTCCGCGGCCTTGGCCATGATCTTCTTCCGGAAGGCCTCCTTCGCCGCGTCCTTCTTCGTGCGGCTCAGGCGGTCCGTCGCCGTCGTCGTGAGCGTCGCGGCGATCTCGTTGGACCGCGCGAGCACGTGGCGGTCGCTCCGCGCGAGGTGCCTGGCCTCGGTCGCGACGGCGGCCTGGCGCTTCTCCGCGGCGACCTTGCGCTTCAGCGCGTCCCGGTAGAGGTCCTGGGCCCGCGACGCCGCCAGGGACGTGCGCGTCGCGCTCTCGGCGGCGCGGGTCGGCGACGCGACGCGGCCCCGGGCCACGCGGCTCGCGGTGAGCGACGCCTCGCGGCGCCGGCCCGACCGGCGCCGGTCGAGCGCCGCGGACTGCTGCTTCGCGGCCGTGTGGAGGCGCGCCCCGAAGTCGCCCTCGCGGCGCATCTTCGCGGCCTTGGTCGTGATGCGCGGCGTCGCCTCGCTCTTGCGCCGCGCGGCCTCGTCGCGGAGCTTGCGCCGCCGCACGGCCTCCGCGGCCTCGCCCTGCGCCCGCAGCCGGTCCTCGACGGTCGTCTGCCGCTCGTAGTGCTTGGCCTCGTCGGAGCCGTCCCAGAAGGCCGCGGCCTCCTGCTCCTTGGACGCGGCCATGACCTTGCTGAGCATGGACACGCGCGGCGTGAACGTGACCTCGGTGCCGAAGCCCTCGCGCATCGCCTCGAGGGCCAGCTTCGCGCGGCGCTGCTCCTCCTCGAGGGCGCGCTTGCTCGCCATGGCCTCGTCGTGCAGCCGCGACACGCTGCTTTGGACGGCCGACGCGGGCGACGGCGGGTGGCGCACGCGGCTCAGGCGCAGCGACGAGTCCTCGAGGGCGCGCCGCTCGGCCTCGTGGGCGCGGATCATCTCCTCGCGCCGGTAGCGCTGGTCCAGCGCCGCCTCGTAGAGCCGGTCCCCGACGCCGGACCCGGGCGAGCCCACGGACGCGTGGCTCGACACCATCGACGACTCGACGAGGGACGGCGCGTCCATGCTCAGACGGCGCGCTTAATAACAATAACTGCAACGTTAACTTTGAAACTTAGATATACGCGAACTTCAACGAGCCGACTGGAAACGCCCGCACTTTTCGCCCGCGGTTGCTCCTTGGAGTCGCCGCGAGGCCCGTTTCCGCAGCACGCGTACGCAAACTCGAGCAGGTTAGAAGCGCCGCGCCGCCGCGGCGCCGCGGCCCCTAGTCCGTCTCGTGGAGCGTGGCCACGACGGGGTACTTGCGCTTGAAGAGCGCGACCCAGTCGTCGAGGATCTTCGTGTCCTTGGCGTCGAGGTCGTCGAGGTCCGGCCAGCCGCGGTCGACGTCCTCGGGCTTGAAGGACATCTTCGCGAGCGCGCGGGACGCGTCCTTGCCGCAGAAGAGGTGGTAGGACGCGCCGGCGCCGTAGAAGCCGACGCCGCCGTAGCCGACGTCGTAGATCTGGCCCCGGATGGCGATGAGGTGCTCCGCGGCGACGCGGCCGGGCCGCGGCGCCGCGTTCCCCGTGCCCCGCGCCAGGAGCTCCGCGCGCGTGACGACCGCGGAGCCGTCGTCGGGCGCGGACACCTTTCCGACGACCGGATAGCACTTCTCGTGCGCGAATTTCATGTACCTGGAGGGCGGCGCGTCACGCAAAAAGACATGGAAAAAAGGCGCGCACCAGTCGTTGAGCTGGTCGCGCTCGCCGAAGTTGAGGTCGTCGACGGGGCCGTCGAGGTCGGCCTCCTCGAGCGACATCTTCGCGAGGCACCGGCTCGCGTCGCGGCCGCGGAACATCTCGTAGCCGCCGCCGGGCCCGTAGAAGTGGCGCGCGGCGGACACGTCGAAGACCTCGCCGCGGAGCGCCACGTAGACCGGCGTGTCGTCGTCGCGGCCGTCGAACGCGCGGAGTTGCGCGGGCGTGAAGTCGCGCGGCGGCCTGCGGCGCGGTCCGGTCGTTTCTTCGCGGCGGCCGCGGGACGGACGCCGGCGTCGCGCTCCTTCTCGTCCTCCTCCTCCTTCTCCTGCGGGTCGTCGTCGAGCGCCTCGGGCGGCGACGCGATGGCGAGGTAGACGGCGTAGGTGCCGAAGACGACGCAGACCTGCGGACGACGGCGTGCGCGCGTTTCGCTCGGCGTGGCGCGGTCGTCGCGCCGCGAGCGAGATCAGCGACGGCGTCGACACGTTCGACAGGAAGCCGCCGCCCTCGTCAGTGGGGAGCTCGGCCATCGTGTGTCGAGAAGGCGTGCGAGTCGCTGCAGCATTGGCTTTGTGAAGCATAGGTGCACGCGCGCTGCGAGGGGCTAGACCCCGCCGTCCCTTCGCGTTTTTTTTTGCACTCGGCTGTGTCCCTTGCGTGCGTCTTCGCGACGACTGCGACGGCGTGCCTGTCGAGCGAACCCCTGTCTCGCTTTAGCTCCTCCGAGTCGGTCTTGTTCGTGCGAATGGCCGACGGCTGCGCCTTCATCGCGCGCCAGGGCACGGCCAGCGCTGCCACCGCCACGAGCACGTCGCGCGCGCAGCCCACCGACCAACCCTATCGCGAAACCTCTCCTTGAGTTCCTGTTGCAGCGCCTTGTGGCAATTGTTGTTGCTGAATTAAAATCTGCAGAGAGGAGGAGCTCCCCGCCACCACGAAGAAAGTCGACAGCGAGCGCGAGCCACCACCCACAGCGTTGAGCGCAGCAGAAAGCTTTTCGAACCATGGGCATGACCAAGGTGGACACGAGCATCGTCGCCGAGGGCATGCGCGAGGAGATCCGGCGCGACGTCCAGCTCGTGCCCGGCGTGCGGCCGCGGCTCGTGGGCTTCCTCTGCGCGGACCGGCGTCTCCAGAGTTTCGACGACGCGCGCGATTTTGCCACCAACTGTCGTAACCGCCGCAAACCCGTAGCGAACAAGGACCCGGCCGCGCGGAAGTACGCCGAGTGGACGGGCCGCGCGGCGACCAAGGACGGCATCGAGTACGAGCTCCGCGAGGTCGAGGCCTGCGAGCTCGGCGCCGCGCTCCACGCCGCGAACAAGGACGATACTGTGCACGGCATCCTCATCTACTACCCCGTCTTCGGGTTCCAGCCGTCGTTCTTCGGCGGGTCCATGGACGACCAGCTCCGCGACGCGATCTCGCCGCAGAAGGACGTCGAGGGCCTCTGCACGACCTACCGGCACAATTTGTACCGCAACATCCGGCGCGTGGACCGCTGGCGGCGGTCCATCGTGCCCTGCACGCCCTTGGCGGTCGTCAAGTGCCTCGAGCACGTCGGCGTGCACAAGCGCGACGGCGGCGGCATGGCCGGCGTCGTCTGCTCCGTCGTGAACCGCTCCGAGATCGTCGGCCGGCCCCTGGCGGCCATGCTCGCCAACGACGGCGCGACGGTCTACTCCATCGACATCGACTCGATCTACGTCATGCGCAAGGGCGAGATGGCGCCGTGCAAGCTGAGCCCCGAGGAGGCCATCAAGGCCTCCGACGTCGTCGTCCTCGGCGTGCCCTCGCCCAAGTACAAGCTCAAGGTCGCCACCCTCAAGAAGGGCGCCGTCGTCGTCAACGTCTCCGGCTTCAAGAATTTGGACGACTCGGACGCGACGGACGACGACGTCTACACCTACATCCCCCTCGTGGGCCGCGTCACCGTCGCCTGCCTCGAGCGGTCCCTCGTCTGCCTCTACAAGCAGTACCACGTGCCCAAGCTCCGCCTCAAGAAGGCCCTCAAGTGGCTCCCCGTCGCCCTCGCCGCCGCCGCCGCGCTCGGCGCGGTCGCCATGAAGAAGCGCGCGTGAAGCGGGGAACCCAAGCTAACCCTGTGGTGTTCGTCGGTTGCCGGTCCGGGCTGCCCAGGGGCGCCTCCGAAGACTCGAGTCGGAGCCAAATTGAGGCGCGGTCCCTGAGTCATGAGGGCCGGGTTCGTATTCACAGCTGATTACACAGGGGCGTCGGTTCGGAGAACCGGGTTCGGGGGGGGGGTCACATGGGATTCTAGAATGGGATTCGCCGCTAGTTGCCGCCCTTGATGCGCGACACGGCCGCGGCCCGGCGCGCCTCGATGGCCGCGATCTCCGCCTTGACGCGCTCGGGCGTGCGCTCCTGCTCGCCGTCGCCGCCGACCTTGTCGTAGCGCGAGAGGATCTTCGCGCTCCGCTCGGCCTCGGACGTGGCGTCGTCGAACTTGCCGAACCAGCCGAGCTCGTACTGCGACTGGCTGCTCCGCGCCTCGCTGTTGGCCACGGCGCCGTTCTTGGCGGCGCCGTTCTTGGGCGCGGCGGCGCCGTTCGCGGCCGCGGCGGCGACGGGCGCCTTCGCCGGCGCCTTCTTCGCCGGCGGCGCCTTCTCCGCGGGCGCGTCGGCCGCGGCCGCGGCGGGCGCCTTCGCCGGCGCCTTCTTCGCGGGCGGCGCCTTCTTCGCGGGCGCGTCGGCCGCGGCGGCGGCGGCGGGCGCCTTCTTCGCGGGCGCCTTCTTGGGCTTCTTCGGCGGCGCCGTCGTCGCCTCCTCGAGGGCCGCGGTCGCCTTCTTGACGACGCGCCGCTTGCCGAACCTGTACCTGCCGTCGAAGTGGTCGTGCATGAGCTTGGCGAGGATCGCGGCGAGCTCGTCCTCGTCGTCCATGGGCACGCCCTTGGTGTGGGGCTCGAGGGCGAGGTGGCCGCCCTCGCCGATGGTGCCGCCGACGTAGATGTTGACGCCGGAGACGGCCTTCATCTTGCCCTCGGCGTTCTTGCGCTTCGCGGGCCCGCCCATCAAGCCGATGTCCGCGGCCTGGACCTGGCCGCACGAGTTCGGGCAGCCCGTCCAATGGACCCGGAGGGGCCGCGGCGTCTCGACGAGGGCGTCGACCTTCTCCATGACCCGCTCGGCGACGGACTTGGTCTCGATCATGGCGAGCGGGCAGAACTGGGCCCCGGTGCACGAGACCATGTTGCCGACGATGTTGCTCGGCTCCACGGAGAGGCGGCCCGCCGTGAGCGCCGGCTCCTTGAGCAGGGCCTTGACCTTGTCCTTGTGGACGTTGGGCAGGATCGCGTTCTGCTCCACCGTGAGGCGGAGCTCGCCGCCCGCGTAGCGGTCCGCGAGGTCCGCCAAATGGCGCATCTCCTCGACGGACAGGCGCCCCGCGGGCACGTGGACGCCGACGCGGCGGAGCTCCGGGTCCGCCTGGGGCTGGACGCCCAGCAGGCTCCGGCGCTCGAAGGGCGTCGTGTCGTGGGGCTGCGCGGGCTGCACGTCGACGCCGCGCCCGTAGGACGCGATCTCCTTCTTCACGGCGTCCCCGAACGCCTCGGGCCCGTAGGACTCGACGAGCCACATGAGGCGCGCCTTCTGGCGGTCGTCGCGGCTGCCCTCGTCGCGGAAGAGGCGCAGGATGGCCTCGCAGAGCGCCTCGCACGAGTACGCGTCGCCGGGCACCCAGACGTCGAGCGCGACGGACTCGGCGACGCGCTTGATGGACATGTAGCCGCCGACGACGACGTTGAAGCCCGGCTGGCCCGTCGCGGCGTGCCTGACGGGCTCGAGGCCGATGTCGTTGATGTACGTGTGCGCGAAGTCGTCGCGGCCGCCCGACACGGCGATGTTGAACTTGCGCGGGAGGAAGCCCCACTGGGGGTTGCCCCGGTCGCCCGTCGCCTTGTCGAGCGAGATGAGGTCGTTGATGGCGTTCGTGATGGGCCGCGTGTCGATCAGCTCGAGGTCGTCGAGGCCCGCGAGGGGGCTCCCGACGACGTTCCGCGCGTTGTCCAACGCCGACTGGAACGACGTGAGGTTCATCGCGTGGAGCTTCTCCGTGAGGTCCGCGCCGTCCTCGAGGGTCAGCCCCCGGAGCTGGAAGTTCTGGCGCGTCGTGATGTCGGCGACGCCGAGGTCGTCGCCGTAGGGCGCGATCGCGTCCGCCATCACCCGGACCTGGTCCGACGTCACGATGCCGTTGGGCAGGCGCAGGCGCATCATGAAGCGGCCCGGCGTGCGCTTGAAGCGGCTCAGGAGGCCCGCCCACTTGAGGCGGCTGTTCATGTCGTTGGCCTCGATGTCGTCCTACGAGCGCGTCGTCGGGGGTTTCGAAAAGAAGCGCGGTTCGGGCGCGGGCGCCGCGCGTAGTCGAGCGTGCCCGCGCGGATCGCCCCGGCGAACTCGTAGAGGTCCGTCCACGCGTTCGTCGGGTCCTTGGCGAGCTTCAGCTTCTCGATCTTGTTGCCCTCCGCCTGTCGGGCGCGGCTCGGTTTTCGGGCGAATAACGTCTCGCGCGCGGAGCTCTCTGGTCGCGTTGCGGGCTCTTGCGAGACGCGTGTCACTCTCTCTCTCTCGGTTTGATGGTGGGATGCGCTCTCTCGTTCGCGCGTGTGGCGCGCGCGGGCGACTTGTCAGACGCCGGGACTGACCGCCCGCGCGATCGTCTCCTCCGGCAGGAACGAGATCCCCGTCCGCTTCGTCGGCGCGGAGAAGGAGGTGGCGGTGGCCACGAGCGCGAAGGCCGCCAGGCCCCGCAAGCGGTGCGGCATCGCGTTGTTTCCAGTCGAGGCAACACGGCCGTAGAAGGCAGCTCCTCGTGCAGCACGACTGGATGACGACAGGCCGACGCAGCTCCTTTGGCCTGCTCGATTAATGGCCGAGCGAGCCCGACGGGCCCCTGCACGACGGTCCGGCCCCGGGACGGGGGCCGGGGACGGCGGGCACGGGGGTTCCGGCACGGTAAATGCGCTCCGGGCACGCGGCCCGGCACGGGCCCGGCACGCGGCACGGCACTCGGCACGGGCCCCCGGGCACGGGCCGGGCACGGGCCACGCGGCCCGGCACGGGCCCGGCACTCGGCACGGGCCCCGGGCACGGGCCGGGCACGGGCCGGGGAGGCCCGGCACGGGCCCGGCACGGGGCCCCGGGCACGGCCCGGGCACGGGCCGGGGACGTGGCCGGGGACCGCGGCACGCACCGTCGCGCAGGGGCCCCTAGCTCGAGGCGCTATCGATGGTGAAGCGCTGAACAACTGCTCAATCCGAAAGGAAACCAAAAGCGAGCCGAAGCGAGACGAGGTGCGGCGCGCGTCGACGTGCACGCCACCGCGTGCGCGCGCGAGTGGACGTCGTCCTTCGCGTGTTGGCGAAGAACGGCGCGGCCGGACTTCTTACTCGTGGCGCGCCGCCGCCGGAGCCGCCGCGGCGTGTACTAGCGAAAAGGGACACCCTCTCGGTAGGAGACGAAAAAAAAGAACCCCGAAGAGGCGTGCATTTACGCGCGTCGAGGCGTCCCCCGACGCAAAACCCCCGGCCACTGCAGAGAGCGTGTTCTCGGCTCTCGCAATCCTGAGTCATTGAGGTCCTATCACAAAATCTCACTCTCGTCATGCGCCGTGTCCCTCGCGCCGCACTGGAAACCTTCCACAAAGTCCCCCCCGCACTCCCTGACACCCACCGAGGCGCCTCGCCGCAAAAAATCCGCGCGAAACGAGCGCCAGACACCTTTCCCCCTCGCAGATAATGCAGAAGCTCGCCCTCGCCCTCGCCCTCGCCCCCGCCGCGGCCTTCGTGCCGTCGGCCGCCCCCAAGGCCGCCCTCAAGATGGACGCGACCATCCAGCAGACGCTCGCGTCCATGCAGGGCTCGGAGGTCTTCTGGGGCTCCGACGGCGTGCTCGAGGGCCACGAGGAGGACGAGGTCAAGGGCTACGACAACTTCGACGTGCTCGCCGGGGCCATGCAGGCCCAGGGCGTCAACCTCGACGGCGGCTCGTACACGCTCCTCGCGCCCTCCAACTCGGCCATCGACAAGCACAACAAGGAGGTCGGCACGCCGCTCGACGCGAACATCCTCAAGTACCACGTCATCAACGGCGCCGTCCCCATGTCCGGCCTCACCGTGGACCAGCCAACGCTCAACGGCGGCACGCTCACGGCCTACCGCAAGTTCCGCAAGAACTGGCTCGACGGCGCGATCATCGGCCTCTCGTCCGAGGGCGCGTCCAAGTCCTCCAGCTGGCCCGCGGACGTCGCCTGCGACAACGGCGTCATCCACGCGATCGACACCGTCCTCGTGCCCGGCGCCTACGACGGCCCGCGGTAAACGCGGCCCTCCCCTCTCCAAGCACTACGAGGAAGGCCGAGGCGAATGACGCCGAGTCGCGCTCGCGCGGTGGAGCCTGGCACCCTAAGATAGATGCCGAAAGCTCCCTTTGTGTTGGGCGTGGCTTGCGCCCCCGACTGTGGAGACCGGGGGGCGCCCGGCCCCGTCCGCGGCTTCGCCGAGCCCGGAGTGCGAGTCCGCGGCTCGCTCGCCCGACGCGTCACACAACCTCTTCTTACTTCGACGGCGCGTAGCGGTCGGCGAAGGACCCGTCCTCGATGGCGGCGAGGGTCGCGTCGTCGCACCAGAAGTCCCAGTCCTCGTTGATGGCGCGCCACGCGGCGTTCGCGCCGACCTCGCCCGCGGCCTCCGTGATGCCCATGTCGCCGCGGACCTCGAGGCCCGGGACGGCGAAGCCCCCCGGCGCCCGCAGGGTCCAGGAATCGGCGCCCTCGACGAGGGGCACGCCGAAGCCGCCGTAGTACGTCGCGACGGCCTCGCAGTACTTCGCGTCGTCCGTCGTGCCCGCGTTGCCCGCGTTGTAGCAGGAGAAGCAGACGGCGTGCTCGTCGCAGTTGTGGAGCTGCGACTTGCCGCCGAGGGTCAGCGGGTTGGGCAGGTCGCCCGGCGAGTCCGCGTTCTGCGACGACAGGCCCGCGATGTCGGGCCTGAAGGTCCCCGCGCAGGACTCGGGCAGGGACTTGACGGCCATCCAGGCGCAGGGCATGGCCCAGGCCATGTCCTGGTCCGCGCAGGCGTCGGGGCAGAGCGCCGCGAAGGGCGTGCCCTTGTCCGTGATGTCCGTCGCGCACCAGCTCTCGGCGTCGAACGACGGGCACGTCGGCGCGAAGACGGCGTCGTCGTCGTAGTCCGCGCAGGCCGCGGACACCGTGTAGTCGGCGTAGGCCACGCGCGCCGCCTCGGACGACGCCGCGTCCGTCGTCAGCGCCGACCCGGCGCGCAGGCTCTGGCCGTCGCGGGCCCAGACGGCCAGGGCGCTCAAAAGCGACCCGGACGCGACGGCGACGGCGACGTAGCCCGCGGCGCGCGACCGCCGCGGCGGCGGCGCCTCGACGAGCGTGCCGTAGGTCGTCGGCATGCTGCGGCGCGGGACGGCGGCGGGGGCTGCCTGTCTCTTCTCACGCTGGGTGACTGCGGGAATGATCAAGTTCTCAAGATACTTTCTTTCGTTTCCCCCCGTCCTTGCACTTACATGTTAATCGTCCTCGTCCTCGTCGACGTCCTTCTGCTGCTGCTTCTTTTTCTTCTTCTCCTTCTTCTTGCGCTTCTTCTCGGCCTTCTCCTTCTTGCGGTCCTCCTTGGACTTGGGCGGGTGCTTCTCCGCGAGCCACGTCTCGACGTCGTCGTAGCCCTCCTCGGCCGCGAGCTCGCCCTCGTCGCCCCAGACCCACTTCTTGTTGCGCTTGCCGCCGAACTTGTGCTGGAGCGCGCGGCAGACGCGCTTGTTCCGGTCGACGTCGTCCTTCTTGAGCCACTCCTGGCCCTCGAGCGTGTCGACGTTGTCGTAGACGTTGACGTTCATGATGGGCGAGAAGCGCAGGGTCCGCAGGCGGATGTAGTCGTCCTGGAATTCCGAGTTGTCCTCCTCCTCCTCGAGCTCCCGGGCGCGCCGCGTCACCTCGAGCACCGTCTTGCGGTACGCGTCCACCGGCGGCGGCTCGTCCGACTCGGCCGCCGCGGGCGCGGCCGCGGGCGACGTCTCGTCGGGCGGCGGCGCGGACGCCGCGCTGAGGCGCCGCGCGACCTCGGCGCGGACGTCGAGCTGCGACGCGCGCGGCCGCGGCGGCGCGGCCGCCTCCTCGACGGCGCTCGGCGGCGCGGGCGCGACCTTGATCGACCGCCGCGCGGCCTTGGCCCTGTCGCGCTCGGCGTCGCGCCGCCGGTTCGCCAGCGCCTCCTGGACCATCTGGTTGTGCCGGATCTCGCCCTCGAGGCTCTGGAGCAGGTAGCCGCTGACGTGGACGTGGTCGCCGAGCCCGAGCGACTTCCGGATCTTCTCCGGGTCGCCCCGGTCCTCGATCTTCGCCTCGAAGAAGACGGACTTGACGCAGCCCCAGACGCTCGCGGCGCAGCTCCGCGAGAGCTGCGTCGGCAGCGGCAGGCGCCGGAACGCCGCGGCCCGCGCGCGCCGCTCCGCGTCCTCGACCTCGTACGCGCGCGTCCGCGTCTCCTCGTCCTGCTCCTTCCGCGACGCCTTGGTGATGAGCCGCTTCTCCGCGCCCCGGAGCCGCGACGCCAGCGGCCGCCCGTCCGCCGTCGTCGGCGGCGGCGCCGCGGCCGGCGCCGCGGCGGCGAGCGGGTTCGCCGTCTCGACGACGGTTTCGGCCGCGTCCTCGGCCATAGGGCAGCCCCGTGTTCACGCGCGGCGCGGACCTCGAGGGGTGCCGGTCACGTCACCGTCGACGCCGAAAACGGAAAACGAGGCACCCCGGATCATGGACCATCGACTCTGCGGGCGCTGCCCGGCGGTTTTGTGCCCTTCAGTGAGTCTTCAACTTTGATCTTTATTGCCACAAGTTGGGAGCGCTTTTGGCTGGAAGACTGACCTGGGTTGTGTTTTTTAGCCACGGGGGGGGGCCTTGGGGGGGTTTTGACGGGGGTGGGGGGGGTCGACTTCTGCTCGGCTCGGGCGCGACAACCTCCTGAAAACAGCGCCCCAGTACGCGTCCGGGCCGCCGGGGGCCACCGGGACGGGGGGTGGGGGGGTCGCTGAGGGCCCATAAAACCCCCCCAAGGCCCCGGGGGGGGGCTAAAAAACACAACCCTGAAGCCCGTCGCAGAGCGCTGAGCATCGCAGAGCGCTGAGCCCTTCGCAGCTTAGTTCGCCACCGACGCACGACATGGGCGCCACCCATTCCACGCCAAAGGTGCTCGTGCTCGGGACGCCCGGCGCCGGCCGCAAGACGCTCATGCGCGCCCTCTCGAAGGACGCCGCGCTGGACCTCGTGCCGAGCCTCGAGGCCGACGACACGGCCGACGCCGTCGTCTACGTGTTGGACGCGACGGCGCCGAGCGACTGGGCCGGCGAGTCGTCGAAGATCCTCGCGACGCTCCACTCCGTGAACAAGGCCCTCGGCCGCCTCGTGCCGCTGCTCGTCTGCGTGAACAAGCGCGACGTCGAGGGCTCGGCGCCCGCGCGGCAGGTCGTCGAGAACCTGCGCCTCTCCGGCGACGTCTGCGCGGCCGTCGGCGGCCGCGTCTGGCGCGTCGTCGACTGCTCCGCCGTCGGCGACGTCGCGGACGTGCGCAAGGCGCTGCTCAAGATGGTCGCCAACGGGCAAAAGCCCATGGGCATCCTCGCGCCCAAGTTCCTCCGCTACGGCGCGAGCTGCGACGCACCCCAGGGCGCCTGCGCGCCGCCTCCCTAAGGTTACTCCGCGGTCTCGAGCCAGGCGGCGTCGCGGACCTCGACGGCCGGCGCGAGCGCGACGACGAGGACGTTGACGTCCGCGCCGCGCTGCGTGCGCATGACGGCCCGCTCGACGTCGATGACCGCCAGCCCCGCCGCGGCCGCCGCATCGCGGAGGTACGCCTCGGAGTGCGCGAAGCGGCCGCCGTCGCCGAGGCCGAAGCCGCTCGCGCGCTCCTCGAGCGTGAACGCGAAGCGGCCGTCGGCCTTCAGCACGCGCCGCGCGGCGGAGAAGAGCTCGGCGCAGTCGCCGACGTAGGCGAAGACGTCCGCGGCGACGAGGACGTCGACGGAGCCCGGGCCGCGCGTCGCGAGGTAGGCCGCGCCGTCGGAGACGACGAGGTCCTCGTAGACGCCCTTCTCGCGCGCGGCGTCGAGCATGCGCGGCGACACGTCGACGCCGACGATCTCCTCGATAGGCAGCGCGTCCCGGAGCGCCGCGCCGCAGAGGCCCGTGCCCGCGCCGACGTCCACGGCGACGACGCCCGGCCGCTTCGGCAGCGACCGCGCGAGGAGCCCCGCGCACTGGAGGTGGCCCCGGTAGCTCAGGTCGCCGACGAGTTTCTGCTCGAAGGTCTTGGCGAACTGGTCGAAGAGGCCGCTGACGTAGGACGCGTCGAGGGGCGCGCGGCGCCAGTCCTCGTCGCCGTCGGTCCACTTGGCGAGCTGCGCGCGCGCCTGGCCCTCGCCTGGGCAGGAAAAGGGTGATTCAACGTCGCTTCAACGTGCGTGTTCCGCGCGCGCGCGTTCCGAAACAAGCATCCATGCTTCGAGACCGTTCCGAGAGATGATCGCTCGTCCAAAAATCAGCCGAAACGAGTGGAAAACGGCCGAGATCGGAGCCTTTGAAGTTGGGAATTTCGCTCTCTTGTCCTGCCCTGGCCCTCGCCGGCGTCGAGGTCCACGGCGCGCTTCAAGGCGGCCACGGCGCCCGCGCGGTCGCCCCGCTGCTCGTCGAGGAAGAAGGCGAGCTCGCGCCAGATTTCCGCGCGTTCCGCGTCGAGCTGGAGCGCCTCCTGGAACGCCGCGGCCGCGGCGCCGAGCTCGCCCGCGCCGGCGCGGCCGAGCGCGCAGCGCAGCGCGGCGCCCGCGGCGTCCCCGCCGGTCCGCTTCGCGACGTCGGCCGCTTCGGCGTAGAGCCGCGCGGCCTCGGCCGCGTCGCCGGCCGCGCGCCGCTCCGTCGCCCGGAGCTCGAGCGCCGCGGCGCACGTCGGCTCGGCCGCGAGCCGCGCCTCGACGACCGCCCGCGCGCGGGCGAAGCGCTTCGCGCGGAGCTCGTAGCCGACGAACCTTTGGAACGCCTCGACGTCGCCCGAGTGGGCCCAGGCGAGGCGCCAGGCCTCGCCCGCGTCGTCGCCGCGGTCCTCGAGCGCGACGGCCCACCGCGCGGCGCTCGCCGCGTCGCCGTGCGCCGCGGCCCGGGCGAGCGCCGCGAGCGCGCCGTCCTCGTCGCCCGTCTGCCGCAGGAGCGTCGCGAGGGCCGCGGCGGCCTTCGTGTTGTTCGCGCGCTTTTCGAGCGCGGCGCGGCAGGCGTCGATGGCCGCGGCGATCTTGTCGTCGATGGCGCCGCCGCGCAGCGTCGTCGTCGTCGCGTTTGCAACCGCGGCCGCGCCGCCGCGCCGCGTTGTCGCGACCGATGCGCGCGTCGCGCTGTGTCGCGCTGGCGCCCGGAGCGCCGTCGCCGCGACAAGTAGCAGCGCGATCCTCATTCTGCCATGCTCTCTCTCGATGGAGCTGCCCCGCGCACGCTCATTGGCCGATGGTCGACGCTCAAACGCCGCTTTGTTCGGCGCTGCGCGCGGCGCACGCGCTGCCCCAGCCATCCTAGAGAACGCACGCGATGCCGCAGCAGGTGACCTTCGACCTGGACACGGCGGTGTGGATCGTCGTCGTCTACGTGTGGATGTCGCTGGCCGTGGTCCTGCGGCTCTCCGGCGGCGCGGCGCGCACGCTCCAGAAGATCTTGCCGCGGGGCAGCAAGGTCGGGAAGCGCGTCGGCCGGGGCCGCGGGCCGACGCGCGCCGCCTGGGAGACCGCGGCCCCGCGGGGGCCCGTGCCTCCGCTGGACGTCGCGCTTCTCGTCGTGGGCACGCACGGCGACGTCCAGCCCTTCGTCGCGCTCGGCCTCGCGCTCGCGGAGCGGGGCCACCGCGTGCGCCTGGGCACGCACGCCTGCTACCGCGCCTCGGTGGCGGCGCGCGCGGCGGCGGCCGGCGCGTCGCTCGAGTTCTTCCCCCTGGCGGGCGACCCGAGGAAGCTCTCGGCGTGGATGGTCAAGAGCCGGGGCCGCCTCCTGCCCGGCGCGGGCCTCCGCGGCGGCGAGCTCCGCGACGAACTGCTCGTCGAGCTGCCGGAGAAGGTGGCCATGATCCGCGACATCATGCGGTCCTGCTGGGACGCGTGCACGCGCCGCGACTACGACGACCCCCGGTGGGACGGCGCGCCCTTCCGGGCCCAGGCCATCGTCGCGAACCCGGTCTGCTACGGCCACGTCCACTGCGCCGAGGCGCTGCGGTGCCCGCTGTTCATGGCGTTCCCCCAGCCGTGGACGCCCACGGCCGCGTTCCCGCACCCTCTCGCGAACCTGCCGTTCCGCGAGCGCGACCGCGGGAGCCGCCTCGGCTCCTTCGCCGTCGACCAGCTGAACCTCGCGAGCTACGCCTTCGTCGACGAGCTCCAGTGGCGGAGCCTCGACGCGAACGCGTTCCGGAAAACGCTGGGCCTCAAGCCGCTCCGCTGGACCGCGCGCGGCGCGTTCCTGCTGAACGACCTGCGCGTGCCCTTCGCGTACCTCTGGTCGCCGGCGCTCCTGCCGAAGCCCGCGGACTACGGCGCCCACGTCTCCGTCACGGGCAACGCGGCCGTATCGCCCGGCGCCGCGGCGCCCTACGAGCCCCCGAGCGCGCTCGCCGCGTTCCTCGCGGCGGGCGAGAAGCCCGCGCTCGTCGGCTTCGGGTCCATGGTCGTCGAGGACCCGGCGGCGCTCTGGGAGACCGTCGTCGCGGCGGCGGACGCCGCGGACGTCCGCGTGCTCTTCCAGGGCGGCTGGTCCGAGGCCGCGGGCGCCGCGGCGACGTCGCCGCGCGTCTTCGCGCTCGGGCCCTGCCCCCACGGCTGGCTGATGCCCCGGTGCGCCGCCGCCGTGCACCACGGCGGCGCGGGCACGCTCGACGCGTCGCTGCGCGCGGGGCTGCCGACGCTCGTCGTGCCCTTCTTCGGCGACCAGCACTTCTGGGGCGAGGTCGCGCGGAGCCGCGGCGCGGGCCCGCCGCCGATCCCCTTCGCCGACCTCGACGCGGCGTCCCTCGCGGCGGCGCTCGCGCGGCTCGCGGGCGACGCGGCGCTGCGCGCGAGCGCGCGCGCGATCGCGGACGACATGGCGAAGGAGGACGGCGTCGCGGCGCTCGCGGACGCGTGGGCGGCGAGCCTGCCGCCGTCGCGCGACCTCGTGTGCTTCGTGTCCCTCTTCGCGTCGAGCGAGCCCCGCGTCGTCGCCGCGGCGCGCTGGCACGGCCCGCTGCGCGCGCGGCTCTCGCGCGAGGCCGCGGCGGCGCTCGACGGCCGCCGCTCGCCCTACCGGAGCCGCTTCTGCGTGCCCTACGCGCCCCTGCTCTGGGACGCGTCCGCGCCGGCCTACCCGGGCCACGACCTCTGTTCATTCGTACCGAGGACCTTGTACGCGCTCTGCGGCGCGTCGACGCGCGCGTGCCTCGAGCCCCTCGCGGCGACGCGGGCGGCCCTCGAGAGCCGCGGCGCCGACGCGGGGGCCGGTCGCCACGCCGCGCGCGTCTTTGTCGCGCTCGTCTGCTTCGCCGTCGAGGCGCCGCTGAAGCTCACGATGCGCTGGTTCGTCCTATTGCTCGAGACGGGCGTCGGCTTCCTGCGGTTGCTGTGCTGCTGCGGCCGGCGGCGCGACGCCCTCGTCGACGTGCCGTCCATGTGCGACGACGACGATGCCGTCGCCGTCGATCCCGTCCGCGCCGGGGACCTCGTCGACGCCGCGGCGCTCGCCGCGCGCGTCCGCGACGCCGTCGACCGCGCGCTCGGCGACCGGTCGAGCCGCCGGGACCGCGACCGCCTCGACGCGGTGCGGCGCGGCGACGCCGCCGTCGCCCTCGCGGCGCTCCTCGCCTGCGACGGCGACCTCCTCGCCGACGACGAGGACGCCAAGGACGACGTCGAGACGGGGAGCTTCTCGGAGCCGGGCGCGCGCGCGTCGCTCCGCGACTCCTTCGCGGACCCGGGCGCGCTGCGACGGCACTTTGCGCGGCGCGCGGTCCTGGGCTGCTTCGCCGACGGCGCCGCGGGCCGCGACGAGACGCGCGCGGCCGCGCTCCTGGACGCGTGGGGCTTCAAGGGGCCCTGGGTCGCCTTCGTCCCCTTCTGCCTCCGCGTCGCGGACCTCTACCACCACCGCGCCGCCGTCCCCGCGGACGACGACGACCTCGGCGTGCCGCTGCTAAGGTAGTAGTGCGGTGCGCGATCGAGCCCCGGCGGATGCTTCGCGCCATTCGTCGAGCTCGAGACAAAGACCCAAGCCTCACTGCTTCCAAGTCGATCCAAACGCGCGCCGCCGCGCCCCCGCCCGCGCGCACCCCTTCTCGACGCCCCCCGCCCGCAGGTCCCCACCATGATCCTCGACAACATGAGCGACACCGAGAGCCAGTGCGACTTCGAGTGGATTCGGGAGGCGGACGGCGGCGCCTCTCTCGAGGATTTGTGCGAGAAGTATCCCGCGGTCAAGGCTTTGTGCGAGCGCTTCGAGTCGCTCACGGAGAAGTACGAGGCCACGCGTGCCGCGGCCTTGATCGACCCTTCCGCGCGCGTCGCGCGCCTCGCTCGTCTTTTGTCCCGGCGCGCCCGCGTCCAGAAGGAGGCCGCGGCGTGCCGCGCCGTCGTCGTCCTCCAGGCGCGCGCGCGCCGCGCCATCACCTGCGAGTCCGACGTCCGCGCGCGCCTCGTCGCCAAGTGCCTCTCGCTCTCCAAGAGCGTCGCGGCCAAGGCCGCGGCGCTCGACGACCTCGGAGCCAAGAACCTCGCGCTCTCCAAGACCGTCGCCACCAACACCATTTCGCTCAGCGAGGGCTTCCGCGTTCTCAAAAACAAGGACGCCTTCCCGGGCTCGGACGCCTATGTCTGCGAGGTCGATCTCGCGAAGCCCTTCGACTGCTTCAAGATCTGCCGCACCGGCTCGTACGGCGGCTTCGCGACCTTCGGCGGAAAGGCTTTCTTCCGCTCCCAGAGCCCGGACGAGTGCTACGTGAACACCCGCGTCCTCGTTTTGTTCGGAACATTCGAGACGCATGCTGCTTCATAGGTTCACCTGAAGAAGACGCACCCGGCCCACGGCGTGACCTTCTACCTGCGCACGGACGACCTCTTCACGGCGCCCCCGGCGTCGCCGGTCCAGAAGAAATCCTGCGGCGGCTACTTTTACAGCGGCGAGGAGCTCGTGTCTCGCACCACCCGCGCCGCCAAGCCCTAGAGCCGCGCGCGCCGCGCCAAGCCGAGCAGACTCCGCGCCCCATTCCTCACACCGAACTAACGCGCGTCCGAGTCTCTTTAGAAACCGGCTAGAGGAGATCCTGGGCCTTGAACCGGTTGATGAGGTCGTCGTCGAGGGCCATGGGGCGCCGGAGGTTCGCGTCGCCCGCGTCCGCGGCCGCGGCGAGGTCCGCGAGGAGCGGGAGCGCGGCTTTCGCGAGCTGCGCGACGGCCGCGGCGGCCGAGGGCCCCGCGGGCGCGTCGGCGGTCTGGAGCAGGGCCGCGAGGGGCGTCGCCGGGGGCTTGGCGTAGGTGACCTTGAGCACGTCCGTGCCCTGGTGGTAGTAGTCGAGGCAGACGTCGTCGAACGTGCGGAGCTCGTCGCAGAGGCGGCGCTTGAGCGCGTCCTCGCCGAACCAGGTCTCGCCCGTGGCGACGGCGTCGATGTCGAGGGCCGGCCGCTGGCCCGCCACAAAGGTCTTGAACAAGGTGAAGATCTCCTTGATGTCCTGCTTCGACTTGTCCATGTCCTCCTTCGTGACCTTCTTCGTCGGCGTCAGCGTGCGCTTGTAGGCGCCGGCCGTGACGGTCTGGAACTCGATGCCCTCCTTCTTGAGGCGCTGGTAGACGTTGGGGATGTCGGAGATGACGCCGATGGAGCCGAGCACCGCGAAGGGCGACGCGACGATGCGGTCGCCGACGCACGCCATCATGTAGCCGCCCGACGCCGCGACCTGCTCGATGCAGACCGTGAGCTTGAAGCCCGCGTCCTTGACGCGCATGAGCTGGGCCGCGGCGAGGCCGTAGCCCGTGACCGTGCCGCCGCCCGAGTTGAGCTTCAGCACGACCTCGTCGCCGCGCGTCGCGTTCGCGAAGCCGAGCACCGCCGTGACCTCCTCCCGCAGGTTCGCCAGCTGCGACGCCTGGACGTCGCCGTCGAAGTCGAGGACGAAGGCGCGCGCGCCCGCCTCGCCGTTGCGCGCGAAGGCCAGCGCGCCGCCGAGGCCCGCGATACTCTCGTCGCCGGCCGTCGTCGCGGCGAGCTGGCCGAGGCGCAGGCGCGCGGCGTCCGAGGGCAGGGCCGTCTTCACGGCGTCAAGGTAGTCGAGCTCGGCCTCGAGCTCGCGGCGCATCGCGTCCTCGACCTTCTCGAGCGCGGCCTGGCGGTCGCCGTTCTTCCCGAAGGGGTTCTTCGCGAGGCGCCGGAGCACGTTGCCCGTCGAGTTCTTCGTGGCGTTGGACTGCTCGCCGACGGCCGCGGGCGCCTTGCCGCGGAGCTGCGCGCGGTAGAGGGCCGCCTCGGCCCGCGCGTCCGCGCGCTCCGCGAGGTACGTGCCCTCGGCGACCTGCAGCTTGAGGAAGTCGTCGTCGCTCAGCTCCGCGAGGCCGAGCTCGTCGCCGAAGGCGCCGCGGAGGCGCGTCTCGCGCCGCGCGCGCTTCGCGGCGAGGCGGCCGCTCGTCGCGGCGGTGAGCGAGAAGTCGAAGGACTCGAGGCGGTTGTTGAGGCGCTCGACCTTGAGGAACTCCGGGCTCGTCTTCCGGTTCGCCACCTTGCGCTTCTTCGGCCCGCCGAAGGGCAGGCCGCCGCCGCCCATGCCATCGTCGCCGAGGGCGAACTCGTCGCCGAAGTCCGTCACGCCCGGCGGCGCGCGGTCCTCCTTGTCGCCGCGCGCCGCGCTGATGAGCGGGAACGCGACGAGCGCCACCACCGCCGCGGGCACGCCCCAGCTGATGGCCGTCTTGAGCGCGTAGACGCCGAGCTCCCCGGCGACCGCGCCCGTGCCCGCCGGCAGCGCCGGCACGGACGGCAGCGCCGCGAGCACGTCCGTGGGGCCCAGGTGCTGCTCGACGCCGGTCCGCGGCGCCCGGAGCGCTGAAGTTTTCGGCGCGGGCGCCACGAAGGCACGCGCGCTCGTTGCGAGAACGATCGTGACGATGGCGGCGCGCATGGTTGCTAAGCTGTGCGAGTTGGCGTCACTCCTCGAGGCGTCGAGGCGCGAAGCGGCGTCGGTCGAGGTGTGCCAAGTCAGACCTCAGTGCTCGGGGCAACCACATCAACTTGAACCACATCAACATTGAAGGGCGTGAGGCAGCGGCCCGCGAAGGGACCGCGAGCTCTCCCTTCTTCCTCTTGTCGCGGCAGCGCGTCGCGCGGCACGCACCTGAGCACGAGCTTCGTCCTTCAGAGCCGACGGAGGTCGCGTCCACGTCGTCGCACCACGCCCGCATCCCAGACACTGCGAGAAGCGAGGTCAATGGAAGTGTATTATCATAGGGGCGGCGGAGCTCACGACGACCGGCGCCTCACACGGTCAGGCCGGCCTCGCGGGCGCCCTCGACGAGCGCCTTGACGCGCCCGTGGTAGAGGTACTTGTTCGATCCGGAGAAGCGGTCGAAGTAGACCGACTCGAGCCCCTTGCCCTTGGCGCGCTCGGCGAGGAGCGCGCCGACCTTGCCCGCGGCGGACACGTCGTTGCCCTTGCCGCCCGTCGCCTCCTTGACCGTCTCGTCGAGCGTGCTCGCGGCGCAGAGCGTCGTGCCCTCCTTGTCGTCGATGACCTGGGCGTAGATGTGCTGGTTCGACCGGAACACGTTCAGGCGCATGCGGCCCTTGTTCTGGTTCGAGATGCGCTTGAGGCGGATCCGGTACGGCACCTGGCTGCCGGTCGTCATCGTCAGCGCCGACCGGGCGACGAGGCCCGACGCGCACGCGATCGCGCTCAGGAACACGGCGAGGCGGAACATCGTCTCAACCTGCGGGGATATGACGGCTCGGGCGGTGTTGCGATGTCGTCCGCGAGCGGGAGCGGCGCGCGCCGTCTCGGCGGCGATTACGTCGCGGCGCTCTCCGGGGCGGCGCTCGGCGCGTACGTCATCGCCGCGGCCGAATGAACCGCCTCGGAGACCGCACACGCATCGCTCTCGAGCCTCTCGAACAGCCGCTGGCCCGTCGACCACGCCCCGACCCTCCTCGCGCGACTACAGAATGGACGCCGCCGGCATACGCAATTAGCTTCAAGCCACGGGCCACCCACGGACAAAAGATTCGAACCTCATGACGAGGTGGGTGGGTGGGTCCGGAGGCCTGATTTGGAAAATCTACAGTGTACTGATGGGTACTTGTAACGCGCACGCGCGCGCGCGGTCATGACCCGCGGTGCCGCGGCTGACGGTCGCGCGGCACCTCGGCGACGTGTCTTCACGCCGCTATCGTCGTCTCTGGGCAAGCGCCGCTTCTCGCCGCGGCGAGTCGAGCGGCGCGGGTGCCCGTTCTCATCGCAAAGCGGAGATTGGACCGCGCAGCTCCGCGACAAGAGAGAGCTCGCGCGCGCGCGGAATCGCGCGCGCGTGTGGCGATTCGGCGAGCGGCAACTTGAAGGTAACTAACGAAAAGGATTCAAGCCTTCAATCGCCGCGCGACCGCGAGCCGGAATTGACGGGCACCATGGGCCTCGAGCGGCGGCGGACGTCTCCGCGACTTCCTCCATCCCCTGCCATCACACGTAGAAAACCACCCATTAAACGGGGTTGTCGAGGATCCAGTTGACGACGCTGTCGACGTCCGTGTGGCCCGCGGAGACCGCGCGGACGGCGTCGGCCTCGTTGAAGCCGACGGCGACGGCGCCGCGGACGACCTCCTCGAGGTCGACCTCCGGGGCCGCCGGCGGCGGCGTCGGCGGCGAGTGCGGCGCGGCGGAGAAGGGGTTCGGCGGCGACCGCGGCGCGGCGGAGAAGGGGTTCGGCGGCGGCGGCGGCGGGTCCGGCGCGAGGAACGGGTTCGGCGCCGCCGGCGCCGCCGCCGCCGGCGGCGCGGGCTCGTGGAACGGGTTCGCCTCGAGCGTCGCGGCGCGCGCGGGCCGCGCCGCGCGCCGCAGCGAGATGGCGACGACGGGCCGGTCGCGCCGCGCCCGGAGCGCGTCGACGACGTCCGCCGTCGAGGCGACGGGCGCGTCGCCGACGCGGAGGACCGCGTCGCCGACGCGGACGCCCGTCTCCGCGCAGACCGAGTCCGGCGCCAGCGCCGCGACGCGCACGCCGCCCCCCGGCACGTTCTGGAGCTCCAGCCCCAGGCCCTTGGACAGGTCCACGGGCACGGTCACGACGAAGAAGCCGTCGGGCGCGACGCGCGCGGCCGGCGGCGTCGGCTCCGGCGGCGGCGCGTCCAACAAGTCCACGGCGGGCCTCGGCGGCGTCGGCGCCGACGACGACCGCTCGGCCCGCGGCGGCTCCTCGCGCGCGACGTCGTGCGTGCTGTGCTGGATCACGGACGGCCGCCGGTCCCGGTCCGCGCGCGGCGAGCCCGCGCCGCCGGAGAAGAAGGGCATGGACACGCCCGTGCCGACGGGCGTCGCGGCGCCCCGGGGCCGCGCGACGAGGGACGGCGCGTCCGCGCGGGCCGCGGCGTCCTCCGGGTCGCCGCCCTGGACGTAGAGGCTCCCGTGGCGCGCGGACGCGGGCGGCCGCTCCGTGAAGACGTCGAAGTCCGTCAGCGCCGTCGACGCGCCGCGCTTCACGTAGGCCGCCGCCGCGCGCGGCAAAGCGCGCGACGCCTTGCCCGCGCGCGCCGCGCGCCTGGCGCCCGCGAGGCGCGTCGCGTCGACCCACGTCCGCGCCTCGGCCGCGTCCTTCGCCGACACGACGAAGGACTTCTCCGCGCTCAGCACGAGGAACTCCCAGGGCGCGAGGCCCTTGGCGTCGCCGTAGCCGCCCTTGCCGTCGCCCGCCGCTCGGCACACGAAGCACTCCTCGAGCCGCAGCTCGCGGTGCAGCGCGTAGCGGCCGCCGTCCTCCGGTGCGGCCGCCGCCGCCGCGTTGCTCCCGCGCCGGCCCACGCGGCTCTTCATCAGGTCGAGCGCGTGGGCCTCGTCGCCGTAGACGAGGCGGTCCTCGAACAGCGCAAAGTACGACTCGACGGGCCCGCTCCGCGTCACGCGGGACATCGCGCCGTCGAGGACGACCTTCTTCTCCGACGCGCTCTCGAGCCACTCCGCCGTCTGCTCGCAGCGCTGGTAGCACGCCGCGACGCGCGCGACGGCGTCGCGCCGCGAGTCCTCGCACGCGATCGTCTCGTTCACGGCGGCCGCCGCGCGGCGCGCGCACGCCTCCGCGGCGGCGAGCGCGTCGCCGTCGTCGCCCGCGGGGCCGCAGCGCGCGCCGGCCCGCTTGGCCAGGCGCTTCTTGAGCTCGCCGAGGAGCAGCACGTAGCGCGGCGCGCGCTGCACGGGCATGATCGCGAGCGACGCCAACGTGAGGTTGCGGCTGTTCGCGGGCTGGAGCTCGCAGCAGCGGAGGAAGGACTCGACGGCCTGGGACCGCGCCCGCAGCGCCGCGAGCTCCTCCCAGGCCGCCGTGTAGCGCGCGACGTAGCGGCCGTAGCACTCGACGAGCGCGGCCTCGCGGCGCTCGAAGCACGCGCGCCACGCGCCCGTGCGCTCCGCGTCGCGCAGCGCGGGGGCGAACTCGCGCGCGAAGGCCACGACGTCGTCGAGGGGGCCGAAGAGCCGCGCGGCCGCGCCGCTCACCTCGGCGCCCTCGAGATGGTCGACGACGGCGAGGCCCGACTCGAGCTGCGCGCCCCATTTCTTGAGCGGGCCGGCGAAGACGTCCTTGAGCACTTCGAGGTCCGCGACGAGGCGCTCCTCGGTGGCCGCGATCTCCTCCGCGGCCTGGCGCACGCCCTCCATCTGTGGAGCTGGGCGCCAAGCTCTCCTTGCCTAGGTGCATGTTGCATGGGAAACGTGCAGCGGGCTGCCTCATCGGCGCTGTCGTTCCAGCGAAATAGACCGCGTGTCCAGGGCCGGGAGGCGGCCATGGGAGCGTCGGCGAGCTTCCTCGACGCCGAGGAGAGCTAAGCTGGGTTTGGGCTGCCTCATCGGCGCTGTCGTTCCAGCGAAATAGACCGCGTGTCCAGGGCCGGGAGGCGGCCATGGGCGCGTCGGCGAGCTTCCTCGACGCCGAGGAGAGCTAAGCTGGGTTTGGGCTGCCTCATCGGCGCTGTCGTTCCAGCGAAATAGACCGCGTGTCCAGGGCCGGGAGGCGGCCATGGGCGCGTCGGCGAGCTTCCTCGACGCCGAGGAGAGCTACGAGCCCATCCGAGTCGGCCAGCGGAAGCGCGTGGTCCTGTTCGACTTCGACAAGACTCTCGCGGCCGTGGATGTGAATCTGTACTCCCAGCAGGGCGTCGCGGCCCTCGGCGGCCACGACAGAGTCAAGAGCCTGGACAGCATGCTGGCCGCCATCCGGTCCTTCGGCTGCGACCTCGGCATCGTGAGCTTCAACTCGCGGTCCACTGTCGTGAAGACGCTCAACGCCGCGCGGCTCCTGCGCCACTTCCGCGCGCGCGACTGCTACGGCATCGAGCAGCACCCCAAGGGCGACCTGGACAAGGCGAAGCTCACCTTCGCCAAGATCATGAAGCCCCGGGGCATCCGGCCCCAGGACGTGTGCTTCGTCGACGACAACGGCGACAACCTCCGCGACCTCCGCGCGAACCGGAACACCAAGGGCTGCGAGCTCCACCACATCCGCACGGGCATGGGCATGGACGACGAGGACATGGAGCGCGTCGTGCGCTGGGCCGAGGGCAAGAAGCCGCCGCGACGGCGCAAGACGGACCGCCTCGCGACGCGCGCGTCCTGGAAGGCGCCGCTGGAGATAGTGTCGGACTAAGCTACAGCGGCCTTAGTCGCGCTGCGCGCTCGCGGCCGGCGGCATATGCGAGTCCGCGCGCGAGTTCTCGACCAGGCGCAGGTACATTTGAAGTGCTCGAGGCTGCACGGTGACGGCACGGACGGCTTGCGACAGGTTCATTCATCTTCTGTCTGCCACGATGGCCAGCCCTGGAAGGCAGCCCGTGGAGGAGCTGTCCCTGGACGGTGCGCTCAAGTACGACGGGCGGGACGTCGGCGCCGCGCTGCCCTCCGAGGTCTGGGTCACGAGCGGCGGCAAGCGGACCTTCCGGGCCTGGTCCGAGGGCACCACGCTGCGCGTCGCCGCCGGCGGCGACGCGGCGGCGGCGCCGTCGGGCGCCGTCGTCGTCCAGTTCCGCACGCCCGACGTGGAGCGGGACGTGCTGAGCGGCGCGCGGTCCTTCCCCGCGGCGCTCGCGTCCGGCGGCGTCCGCGTCCGCGGCGACGTCCACGGGCTCCGGCCCGCCGCGGAGCGCATCGCCAAGGCGCTGCTCGGCGACGCGCGCGTCGCCGTGAGCTCCGTCGCCGTCGCCGGCGGCGTCGCCTACTACGTCGTCGCCGCCGGGCCCCGGCGCGCCGAGCGCCGCTACAGCGAATTCTGCGCGCTCCGGGCCGCGCTGCTCCGCGTCGAGCGCCGGGGCGCGGCCGCGCGCGTGCTCCGCGGCGCGCCGTTCCCGTCCAAGGTCTTCGGCGGCCGCGAGGCGCGGCGCGCCGCCCTCGACGGCTGGCTCCGGCGCGTCGCGTGCTGCCCCGCGCTCTCGGAGAAGTCGGCGGCGCTTTTCGACGCGTTCCTCGGCGACGCCGCCGCGGGCGGCGGCGACGACGACGAGGCCGGCGCCCTCGCGGAGCGGGTCCTCGCGCTGGAGAGGCGCGTCGCCGAGCCCGAGGAGTGCCTGAGCCAGGCCATCGCGGCGCTCATCGTCCTCGCCGCGCGGTGCTACGGCGTCTTCGTGGTCGCGTCGACGGCCGCGTTTTTAGCGTTCGTCGCCCGGCGGGGCTTCCCCGGGACGTCCGCGGCGCTCTCGGCGTGCACGCTCTTTCTTTATGGGTATCGCGGCGCCCACCGCTACAACTACCGCATCCCGAGCGTCTTCTGGTGTTTGCACCTCTGGCGGCTCGCGCGGTGGTGGCACGGCGTCGAGCGCGACGAAAACGACCACCTCGACGCCTTCACGCGGTCGCTGCTGGCGTCGACGGAGCGCGCCTTCCTCGAGCGCCTCTCCGTGCGCGTCATCGCCGACGTGACCGTGCTGCTCGCGAAGATGGACCGGGGCCTCCTCGTGAAGATGGGCCAGGTCGTCGGCGACCAGGGTGCGACATTCCCAA